GACTGTGTGTGTGTGTGTGCGTGTGTGTGTGTGTGTGTGTGTTTAGCGTGCTGACCTGTCAATCAGTGTGTAGTCCCGCCCTATTTCGTTTCCCACTTTATTGTCTCTTTGACTCTTAATGGACCATCAGTCACTAAATGAACATCATTGAAGAAGACTTGAAACTAGAGACTGAGACCATGAACTCATGTTTACAATGTTTACTGAGGGAATAAATCAAGAGAGAAGTGGAGTCATTTCCTCATAGACGTCTATGGGAGCAGAGGAGTCGCCCCCTGCTGGTCACTACAGAGAAGTAGAGTCATTTCCTCATAGACGTCTATGGGAGCAGAGGAGTCGCCCCCTGCTGGTCACTACAGAGAAGTAGAGTTATTTCCTCATAGACGTCTATGGGAGCAGAGGAGTCGCCCCCTGCTGGTCACTACAGAGAAGTAGAGTCATTTCCTCATAGACGTCTATGGGAGCAGAGGAGTCGCCCCCTGCTGGTCACTACAGAGAAGTAGAGTCATTGTCTCATAGACGTCTATGGGAGCAGAGGAGTCGCCCCCTGCTGGTCACTACACAGAATGCAGCTTTAACACTTTGGCTTAACTTAACAAACCAGGTTGACACCTGATATCTGCAGACGTTAGCACGTTAGCATGCTAGCCCCGGCCCGCCCCGTTGTGTAGTACCACTCGTACTGATACCGCTACTTGTATTTGCTTATATTGTTTGGCCAGATCTTACACAATGCACCTGAGCTGTTTTGGGCCGTCTGGCTCTGGTTCACACAACACGTAGTTCACCAGGTGACAGGCACGTGCACAGGACATTTTCGGGGGCAGGAACTCAAACCAAAACAAAAGGCCACCCGTCGCCAAAATGATTCATGAAATTAAAAATAATATTAATAAAATAATATAATAATATTTTCAACTTCTATATTTATTTGTGTAACTAACTCAAAATTGAAAAAATAAATGAATAACAGGGAAAGTAAGGCCACATTGTACTCAAGCAATAAGGTACGAGACGTTGTACTTTATCGTCAATAATGCTACAGTCCAAAGGTGTTGTTAGCGGCAACCTTCGAACTACAAACAGTAAGTAAATAGCTGCCAATCAGCAGAAATCGCCACCAAACGTTGTGTCTCCATTGGAGTAGAGACAAAAACGTCCCAGGTCTCCTTTCTACATCTCGCACCATCACATTCATTCACATCGCTCACGACGTCCACCTTAATGTCTCTTTGGCTAAAAGGTGTCTTAAAGCGGCTGCGAAGGCTCGCGTTGCCTGAAATAAGGTCACCGAGCTAAAACCTGAAATGACAACTATCGGTCGCGCTGGTTTGGGAGTCTCTCTTTTCTTGCAATTATGCTGCAAATTTTGTAAATGAGATAAACAATGTTGTGCATAATAATGAAGAGTGACTTACATAATCTCTTTAAAGCTGACGACACAGTTTGAGTTGAAGCATCATTCCACCAATAATGTACCACAGTAACTCAACTTTAGACCTTTCCCCACCTTTCATCTCAATTATTCAATTAAATAAAACTAGCGGACGTTTAATTTGTAGAACAGTAAAACTGCCTTTAAATTCTGTCTGTCTGCATTAGACGTGACACACGTCACAAGCTGTGAAATCATTTTGTGAGTTTTCTGTTTGTTTATTTTTTAGGAAACGTCGGACCAGTTGAAACGTAATGTTTTCAGCGCCGCTAAATGTTAATTTATCTCCAGACATCAGGGGGTCACGCCCACACCGCCATCACCTGCTGGTCTGATCCTGCAGCCGCCTGGCGCTCAGAACCCCACGAGGAGGAGCAGGAGGAGGGGGGAGGAGCAGGAGCAGAAGGAGGAGAAGCAGGAGCAGGGGGAGGAGCAGGAGGAGGAGAAGCAGGAGCAGGGGGAGGAGCAGGAGGAGGAGAAGCAGGAGCAGGGGGAGGAGCAGGAGCAAAAGGAGGAGCATGAGGAGGAGCAGGAGCAGAAGGAGGAGAAGCAGGAGCAGGGGGAGGAGCAGGAGGAGGAGAAGCAGGAGCAGGGGGAGGAGCAGGAGCAAAAGGAGGAGCAGGAGGAGGAGCAGGAGCAGAAGGAGGGAGGGGCTTGTGAGCGCAGTGGAGGATCAGATATTAAAACACATTTGGGGGGAATTCATGACAGAGCGTCATTTTAATTCTTAAATATTGATACAATATTGAAACAATCGGCACTTTTCTCCTCCAGGGCAGAAGGTGTGCACATGCCGGCCAGGTGAGCTAGTTCATCGGTTTACACCTTGCACGCTTCTCTGTGGTGAGATGTTAAACTCAGGTCACTGACCAACCATTTAAACTAAATACATGGAGTCCGATCAGTTGGACACATGTAACCACATCTGGTTGTTAACTGCCTGTAAGGACGCTGTGGCGGCGGCGGGATGGAGTTCCACACATCCACTTGACGGGTGAGAGAACAAACCGTGAGATGGAAACTATTTCGGATTCAATGGGTCACAAAGTCACAGAAGAAATGAAACATTGTCCCAGCTGAGACAAACACACCCACTTACCCAGCAGCCTCTGCTCCAAAGCGCTCATCTCCTTCCTCTTTAGTTTCTCATCGCCACGAGCCACCATTCGTATTCTCAACCCTTGTATCTCCGTCGGTTAACTAGTTATTATAACAAATAACTGTTGGCACGCACTATAGATTCATTTTAAGCATCCGGTTTCCTTCTTTGAGCAGATATATTGAATATGAATTGAGTTCAGTGTTGCTGTAGTTTGATTGGCTGAGGAGAGGCTGCACACGGCCGCCACAGAGAAGGCCTCAGTCCTTAGTGCTGTTCGCTAACAGACACATGATGGTGGAAGGCAGCAGCTCTCACAGGAAGGACCTTCTAACATGTCTGTGGTGCATGAGTGACCTCAGAAGCATGTGTGTGTGTTTGTTCGGGGGTGGGGGGGGGGGGTTCATGAGTTGACCTCGTAACCGTGGTTACTGTCAACATGGCCCCGGGTTCTCATCACACACTCACCCCATGCCTCCTCTTCCTCTCGGCCCGCCTCGGCCACCTCGATCAAACCCGCGATCGTATCCGCGGCCTCCAAATCCCCCCCCACGAGCTCTACCTCCGTCGGGGCCGCCGTAGCTTCCACCTCCTCCTCCTCCTCCTCCGCTCAGCGGGGGGCTTTCGTCTCCGTAACCTGAGGGGGAGACGTGTGAGAGCACTTCTCCCTGCACAGCGTTCTCTGCTGAGGCAGCGCAGAACTCACCGCCGCCGCCGCTCTGCTGGCTGTAGTCTTGTGGGGGGGCGGAACCGTAGCTCGGTGGTTGGTTGTAGCGGCCTCCTCCTTGTTGGGGGGGCTGCTGGTGGCCCCCGCCGCGCCCGTAGGCCCCGGTCTGACCTCCGGCGCTGACGTGGCTGCCTCCGCCCGGGGGCTGGTTGTAGCCGGACGCCGGGCGGTCTCCTTCGTAGCTGCTGAACCTCGGGAGAGGAGAAGCGTCAGCAAGGCTGCGAAGCCGCACATCGAAAAGGGTGAGGCAGAAGCTGACGGTGTCTCACCCGGCGGAGGACAAGGGCGGAGGCTGCTGGCTGTAGCCGGAGAAGGAGGACTGCTGGTTGTAGCTCATGTTGAAGGGCTGGTTGCTGTTGCTGTAACCTCCGGGGCTGCAGGGCTGATTATAACCTCCACCTGCACCCTGGTTAGAGGGCGGAGAAACGTAGCCTACGGGGAGACGAGACGGGACATGGGGCTGACTACACCCGGGTGTGAGCAGAAGGTGACGGAGGCGTCCTCTACCTGACGGAGACGGAGAGTAGCTGGCGTTGGTGCTCTGGTTGTAGCCTCCGTAGCTCTGACCAGAGGACTGACCATAGCCCTGGTGAGCACCTCCACCTCCTCCACCACCATAGGACCCACAGCTGGATGAGGTTTAAAAGGACACACATCAGACACACCTCATGGAGTGAGCTTAATGTCATGTGACGGAGTATTACGTCACTTACCCCTGGCCAGATGTTTGGGAATAATCTATTGCATAAAAAAAAGGAGCGTTAAAACCAGAATAGCGTAAAACACGAAGGTGGAACGTGGACGTGCGGATGTTTCTACGTTGTTGTTGTTGTTTGTACTGCTCTTCCTCTGATGATGCGAGTTATGATTCATAACTAATATGACCCGTGAGACGTGCAGCGGCCGGAGCGGACCCGGTTCCCGGGAGCTAGCTGATAGCATGTAGCTCAACGGCTAACCTTTGCTAGCAGTGGAGTTAGCATCACGCCGGTGTTTGCATTCCGCGTCCAAGAGACTAAACCCAAAACGCCTTTGAGCGAACTGTTGATTCGCGGGGTGAAGATGGAGATCCATCCATGGCCACGGCGTTAACGTGACGTCACGCCTTAACCTTCAAACATCGCCGCCGACATTGAGCACCAACGGCTTTCTTACCGTTTGACGCCATTGCGAGCAGCGGGGAACCGCGTGTGACGGTGGCGGGAGGAGATGCTGTCGGTGTGGCGGACTGAACGGAGGCGGGAGACCGGGAGGAAGATGGTGACCCGGTGCGCCGGTCACCGTTCACCGGGCGGCCGCGCGCGCTTCCTCCCGCGGCCGCAGGGGGCGCGCGAGAGAGTAAATAAGAAAATAGACCAGACGATTTAGAATTTAAGTGATATAAGTAGTCAGAGCGAATATATTCACGTGTCAAAGTCCAAACACGGGGCCGGTTTAAAGTACCGGACTTAAAATGAAAACTATCCTAAACCGATTAATCAAAAAATCATTGATGTTAGTTTTTAGATTTAAGAGTAGTTAGTTTCTAGTTTCTGAATTGGTTTCATTTTAGGTGCAAAACATTATATTCTGTATCTATTAAAATGAATTTGTCAAACATTTCTCAATCAACAATATACATAAGCTTTCATGGGGCTTCAAAATATAGTAAAGTATTTATATGTACGCACACTACCACTTCAGATTGGCATGAAACATACTTATTTATTCTCGCTCTCCAGATGTTGAACCATCAAATAATTATATCCAAAAGCTGTTAAAACAGAGACACATCTGACCAAAAGGGCAATGAAACTAAGTCAAACGTTAAGTCAAACTTTATTCGTTTTGAAATGAGCCCCAATCAAGACAAAAAATGAAATGAGTTGAAAGACGTAGAAGAAAGGAGAGAAAACATAAATAAGAAGAGACGAGGAGGACTGAGGGACACATGGACACACATGGGTCTATTTACACCAGTTTATAAGAGCTAGCAGGTTCAGCAGCTTAGATCAAGAAACAACTCCCGACAGGCTACACTTTAAATCCAGTTTCATGTCAGCGATATTATCTTTAAACACAACCAAAGCAGAACAAGCCTGGAAAATTCACATGACCGGTCCATATGTGACAAAAACGTCTGAACAAAACAAAAAGGAAATACTGTGAGGGATCTATGAGGGTTAAAATGATGCAGTAATGCTACAAGAACAGCTCAGTAGTAACTTTGTCGAAGTAGAGGGAATGGCTTAAAAGCATTACTGACATCTTAAAATGAAGCGCACTCAAAGTAAGAAACAGACTGGAGCTTTAGCCTCTGTGCGCGTGTGTGTGTGTGTGTGTATCTCAGTGCGGTTAAGATACCCTTGACGGCATGCATGCATGGCGGCGGGTAAATTCAAAGGACAAATGGGCTGTTGAGGTTCCAAAGAGAGAAATGAAACTTATCCAATGTGTGAGGAAATAAAAAGGTGCGTCCTGCTCTGCAGCAGAGACCCGAGGAGCAGGAGGCTTCTATTTGGACTCTCCTCTCCGTTTCTTCAATACAACTTCCACCCCCCACCTTCCATCGCTGCTGAGCCCCCCCCTCCACACGTCCCTCTACTCGTTCTTCTTCTCCTTCTGTTTGAGCAGCTTGTTGATCTCCCTCTTGGCCATGGAGGCGTACTTTGAGATGACGCCGTGCTGGTTGAGGCCGGGCAGCAGCAGAAGGAAGCTCACTGCAGAAGAGAAGCATCAAGTCAGCTTGTTAACTCATTAGAAGAGCAGCAGCTGAGACAAGGTGGGCCAGTCAGCTGTGGTGAGCAGGAAGTCACGTTTCCTCACCCCCCCCCCCCCCCCCCTCCATGAGTCTGAGGACACTGAGATGGAGACATAATAGCTTCCTAAATCCCCATTCTTTGTTTAATGTTACCACTGGTTACCTCCTCGGCCCAGTAGACGACCTGAGGAGCCACTTGACAGAGATTAAATAAAGAACGCTCATTTCAGATGAATCATGTCTCAGTTTATGTAAGTGGTGATCAGCTCCGCCTCAGAGCTGCCGACTCCACCCGAGGCAGCTGAGGACAGACTAAGGGGTGGCCCCCCAGGGACCACTGCAGCCCTTCCTCCCAGTCCGTCTCGAGTGAAGACTGAGAACAGTCGGAGACCCAGCAGCAGGAAGCCCGTTGATGTCGAGCAGGGATCATGTGACCGGGGAACACGCAACTCTGACTTCCTGTTTTAGAGATCAGACACGCCTCTTGTGGAGGACTGGATTTCTCATTGAATAAATAATTATCCACAGAGCTGAATAATAAGAGCACACAGCTGTTTAATGAACCGGTTTCCTTAAACGTTCACCTGAGGTGTTGAAACAATCAGTTTAATGAGTTTCAGGGCCCAACACAAAACCAGCTCTTCCACGGCTAGAGACCAACACCCCGTGTGATTCAGGGCCGTTCCTCCGTGCACAGACACACACATGCACTCACCGATCAGGTAGGTGAGGAACAGGTTGTGCACTTGCTGTCCGATCCAGGCCACGGCCAGCAGGCTGCTGATCACTGAAGCAAAGTACTGTGGAGAGCAGGAGGTCAGGTTAACAACACACCGTGAAACCAACAAAGTGAGCCGTGAATTGAAGAATGCGACTACGGTGCGTGTGGGTGTGTGAGTACATCATGACCCCCGACCCCCCCAATCACAGGCTGTAACCCACTTTGATGCCTCCTAAGTGGAGCAGCAGAGCGAAATCAGATGAGTTTGTTTTATCTGGAGCAGAGGAATCCTCCCATTGGAACCAGGCTGATGTCCACCGTGTGTGTGTGTGTGTGTGTGTGTGTGTGTGTGTGTGTGTGTGTGTGTGTGTTAAATAGCCCGATTAAACCTTCAAATCATCATCTACCATTTTGGGCTTCTCCTCCTTCAGGGCTCCGAGACGCTTCCACCAGCCCACGATACGACGCTGCGTCTACACCAGGTTACCGCAGATCTCATGGAAGCGCTGCTGCTGCTCGGTGGTCCTGGGGGACGGGAGACAAAGACGTGACCAAACGCTCAACTCGTGTCTCAGTTAAAGCAGACGCAAAGTCCGAAACATAATCGTCATCTCCCTTGAGGAGAAAGATATCAAATATAGAGTTTAAGCAGGAGCAGTCCTGACTTCTCAGGCGTGAACCCTTCACGACGTCGTTTATTCTACCAAACAGCGTCTTTTAGAGTTCAGGCCCATTGATTGGTGGAAAGCAGGTGACCCTGATCTCTGAACTGAAAGGCCTTCTTCTCCATTTCACACAAAAAGGTGGCGTTTAGGCTGTTGGACCGCAGGGAGTCGACACAAGAAGGACCCGACTGTGGAAGGAAGCTGGCCGATATTATCTGCTTAGCCATCGTCCCCTATTTCTGTCCCTGCTGTCAGGGAGCGACCGAAGGGATCCAGCTGACCGCTGCGGGTTCAGCATGTTCTCAAGCTGGATTTCACCCACAGACCAATACAAAGCTGCCCTTTAAACCCAGGCGTGTGACTTGTCAGCGCCCCCCTCCCCATGTTCCACGTTGCACACCACGACCACTATTCACCTCACACGCCGTCGGGCCTAATCTGCCCCCCCGGCCTGTGGAATGCGCAGCAGTCGCGCTGATGCGGCGTTCTATATGGAGGCGCTGAAGGAGCCTGGTGGAGGACAGACGTCCAGCACGCCGTGCCAGCTGCAGGCGGTTACTCTATCTTGTCCCGGGTGTCTGGTTGTCTCCATCAGATCCCCACAACTCGCTGTGTAATGTCAAAGCTCCATGAAACGGACGGGCTCGGTACGGGGCGGGTTTCAGGTGACAACATTCAGACACTAGTTCAAAAGGAGAGAAACTCTCCCCAACTGCTTTGGTTTCCATGTCACACCACCATCTGTGACTGTCCCTACCAACTAAGCCCCGAGCATCAGTCTGCTCTCCAATCCATGCTGATATGATCGAATGCAGAGGAGTGAGTCAGTAGGCGAGAGCGATCCCGTCTGACTCCTCCAGTGAATTCAGTCGACAAAGAACAAAGACCTCCCTGCGAGGGGAACACGCGTGCAATCAGGAAAGGGTTCAAATAAATCCAGAACCAAACATTAGGAAAGTGGCCGTTTAAGCCTAAAAATATTTCCACCATTTCTGGCTGCAATGAAAACACTTTGATCGTCCTCGCGCTCTCACCACTTGTTGGAGCCGAAGACTCTGGGAGCGAGGGTGGGCACCAGGTAGTCGGCGAGGCAGAGCAGCATGACGGCGCAGGAGAGCCCAGTCAGCACAGACGGGTCCAGGTAGTAAATCAGCCTGCAGGAGGAACAGTCAGGAAACACTAACTTCAATGGCTCACTCTTTCATCAGCCACCCAGGAAGTCAGGTTCTGTCTCTTCTCTGAGCTTAGAACCACTTCTGAGTTAAGAGATTCATACACATGTGTGCGACATTTAAAAACATTTGCAAAGTGAATGCAATGAATGCATATTAGGTGAGGCTGAACCAGAGATAGATGGAGGTGCATTCAGGCAACATTAAAGAAGGAATTCTTAGTGTTTAACTAACAGTACATGTGCCAACACAAACCAACAGTACCTGTGGCCTAAGGTCATCTAAATAACAACGTCACAGCCGTGGCTCTGCTGTAAGTGTGGGGAAGGTTACACGACCTCTGAAGCCCATGTGTTTTAGGACACACTCATTGTGAACCAGAGCAGCGCGCGGCCAGTGTGGATACAGATCTCTCTGCTGAGCAATGAGGAAATGACTGCAATGATAACTACGTGCTCCTGTGTGGTTGTGCGTCGCAGCGCGCTCACATAAAGAGAAGGGTGGTGGCAGCCATCAGCGCTCCTGGGAACCACGGCTTCTCCCAGCGTACGACCCGATCTCCGGCCAGGATCACCTCGCCCCATCCCTGCAGCTGCTCCTCCAGCTGGGCCGTCTCCTGAGCCTGCACACACACCACACAACCACCACGTGACGGATGATTAGGTAATAAACTAGAATATCACAGTGGACAGGGAAATATCTGGGGAAGCCAAAGATGGCAGCTAGAGTCAGAATAGAACTCATTTCAATTTATATTAAACTCTTTATTAAAACAGGCAATACACGTTTGCTTCGGAACGTATATATTTGCAAGTAGCAGCGGGAGATCTTTCGAATAGATGGAATCCTCCACAACAGCTTCATTGTGTTTCCCCCGATGTGATCGGAGTAAACGGATCGCCCGGGGGGGAGAGAGACATCAGCAGGGCATCGATAACGGGACGTCGCCCTGCTGGTGTGACTGTGCAGTCTGTGCCTCCACGACAGAAACAAAACAGGAAGCGTTCTGCGGAAACTACACATTTAATCTACACACGTCGAGTGGAGATGTCAGCCAGCCATACGGGGGGGGGGGGGCGTTAGTAGGGTTACAAAGGGGAAGCCGACTGGCGTATTAAATGAACGCTAGCTAGCTAAAGTGGCTAGTGGACGAGCTAACTAGCCTAGCTAGCGCGGGCAAAACAGCCGCAGACGGGCGGCGGCACTCCGGCAACTTGCATCAGCCAGAAGTCGCCCATCAGGTCGGGCTGCTATGAACTTTACCACGATGTAACAAATCCACAAAACACCAGAGCCGTCCTCGGCTGTCTGACCGCGGGTGCTTAGCAGCTAATGCTAACGTCAACTGTTCCTAACGCCCCCTCGGCTGCCCGCAGCCTTTGTGTGAATCCACTCGGAGGGGAAATTACGTTAATACTCACCAGCATGTTGGCGCTTTTGTTATCGCCTTCAGCCATCGTCTCTGCTGTGTTTCTGTCGTTGGGTTCTTAAGCACGTTAACGGCCCCGTAGAGCAGCGCACCTCCGGTCTGGCTTCGGCGTCACTAACGGTCGGATTCTGGCAGGTTTCGTCTATGTCAGAATTTGCGTCAAAATCAGCAGAGTGCATTCTGGGAAATGTAGTTGTTTATTCTCTTTGCAAAGCGGGAGTGGGTCTTCCAATATGCACATGCAGCAAACCGTTCATTTTATTGGTATTTTTTCTCTACCGGTTGCCATGTTTGTAAAACAAACGTCTTTAACTTCCCTTGCGATTCATAATATTTACAAATAGAATAGTTTTAATACATTAATACAAAACAAATCTGCATGTGTCTAGGGAAATTTGACATAAGGCCAATGACATAAGGTGTTTGCAACACCCGGGAAAAAATGGAAAAGCCATGGGTTAAAAATGCAATGTAAGTCCCTTTGGATCAAATGACCTGTAATGTAATGTAATGTAACATGGAATACTCCCAGATGTCAAATTACAGATCGTTTTCATCACTATTTTTATTTTGTTTATCTAATTGTAATGACAGCCTTATCTCGTACTCAAAAACAGTTGACATACTAATTTAGCTTATAAATAACCCTGAAAAATGTGTTGACTTTGTCTTACAACTGTGAACCTTTCTTTACATTTCTCAGGAAAACTAGTGGCAAGTTACCATTACTCTATGTTTGGTACATCCCATTAGTCATGTGTACATAAAATATTAACACACCACTCTGAGAACTTAAAAGTACTTTTACAATTAAATATGACTCCCGCTTCTCTGTTTTAAGAACAGTCCCGCTCCAACACCCCCCAAAAAAACCTTTTGTATCATTATTTTCACCAATAATGCTTGGTTTACAATATGTATCATACCAATATGGATTATAATAATCATACACTTATATTAATTAATAATACAAATAATGAATTATTATCGTTGAAACATAACCAAGTTGTCAACACAGAAGTCGATTCCTCATTTCTCCTCCAACACCTGAACGCATCGCGGTTTAAACGTGCTTTACGTACGTGTGACGTCATCCGGTTTTCATCTCGTTCTCGCTTCGGTTCGCAGATCCGAGCAGCTAGCTAGCCGACAGCTAACTGACGTTAGCCGGGTTTCTTTATTTCTCCACAGTTCGAAAGACTCGGTTATTTCACGGTCCGTTTTATTGTCTGTTTCACCAGGAAAGTATCTCCCGCCTAATCGCTCTCCGCTCCCGGAGAAGAACACTGGTACGTAGCAAACACGTTAGCATGTTAGCTTCAGGTGGGAATTGTTCGCTGCGCATACGTGTGGTTGGGCCTTTTCTTTGAACGCGCAGCACAGAAATCACCGCGTTGCTTCTCCAACAAAAAGAGAATAGTGATAATCGTCCACGTTGGCCTCATCCAGCGAGTCCCACCGTCTCATTTCTACCTTTTATCCCCTTCTACTCATCATAAATCTGCTGTTTAACGTCAACTCGGGTGGCAACAGGCCTGTTCTGGCGCACGTGTGAATGCGAATCAAAATGCGTTTTATTGTGAATAAAACGTATTATTGTGGCTGTTTAAGTAGACGTGGCGATGTACAAACGCATCCAGCTAATGTTTCATGAGTCATTTGAGCGACTCCGGTTCGTTGAGAGGATCCAGACCCACTTTCTATATTTTAAGTTGTTTTTGTGTTCTCGTCTAACGTCAGTGCTTTTGTTATTAAGGCAGCAGCCTCCTTGGAGTGTTTGCCTTCATAACACACCAGGACACAGATGTGGAAGCGCTTCTCGTTAGTTTGTCAGCCATCTTAGGATACAAAGTCACTCTGAGGCTGACGGAGGAACCGCAGGGATCTGCTTTCCCTTCGGTGTTGTGGAGATGTTCCTGTATGCACATAGAAGCTCGTGACTATTGGAGCTACCAACCTTCTTAGTGGGACTAAACGATGCAAATAATTCCCCTTATTTCTAGTTTCTGTTTTGAGCTCAAAGAAACATGCTTTATACAAAAATAGCTCAGGACCCAAACCCAAATATGTAACCAATGAATCTGAAAACCTATCTGCACATTACTGATTCTAACCGAGGTATTAACATTGGTAACAACGATGTTCTCACACCAAACAGCCCTGCAGTCAGACTCGCGTCTCTGTCGCTGTTACTATTTAACGATAGTTTGTTTCGAGGCCTCGTGTGCCGACGCGTACGCCCTGATGTTTGTATCAAATGAACTAAGCCCGCTTCCTATCTGTGTTCTGTGTTTTGCAGAGCCATGTACAATGGGATTGGCCTGACGACTCCCCGGGGAAGCGGCACCAATGGCTACGTGCAGCGCAACCTGTCCAGCCTGCGGGTCAAACGCCCGCGGGACGAGCGTGGCGGCGAGCGGGACGAGAAGGACCGCGAGAGGCTGGAGAGCCAGCTCAACCGACAGCCCAACGCCGACATCCTGGAGCACCAACGCAAGAGGCAGCTGGAGGTCAAGTGTGCCGAGCTGCAGGACATGATGGAGGAGCAAGGGTGAGACCAGACGCTGTCCTACATCAGGTCAAATGAGCCGTTGCTTCTGGCCATTATTAGTGCAGGTTCATATGAGTGACGGCTACAGACCACGCAAGTCAATCATTCACCAGAAAAGGTGTTTTTTGTGCGCGCGCTCGATAAGGTGTTTCTGCACGCTCGCTGTCTTTGACGTAAGGGGGCGGAGCCAGTCACCATGGTATCTACATCTAATTGGTTACACACTCCGTCTTTGGATTGGCTGTTACAGAACTATAGAAGCCCATTTCCGCACCAAAGAAAGGGGATAGAAAGTCCAAATTATGATCACCAGCACTTCGGCTCGCAGGCCGGACCTTGTTGGTAAAATGAAGTCCGAATCTGTGAATATTTTGCAAACTTTCAATACGGATCGATTTTTTTTGAAAATTTGAAATTATGAGGTACAACTTTACTGAACTATGGAGGAGCCTCCGCATATCTTATCTCATTATTTTTGACTTTACATCACACGTGATTTGCCGCCATATTAAACCCGTTATTGATTCATTAATCCCAGTTTCCAAAAGCATCGTACAGCTGCGTGTGTCCGTTTTATTGGTGTTCATTTGAACGGATTCATCCGTATTGATCAGCGGCTGTGGAAGCGTTGTGTTCTACTGTACGAGACCCTCCGCTTCTTATGAACCTCGTCCATCATCTGTTTGTCTGCTCAGGTATTCAGCCGAAGAAATTGATGAGAAAGTCAACACTTTCCGCATGATGCTGCAGGAGCAGCAGGAGCCGGCTCCCGTCCCCTCGGACAGACCAACGTAAGTCAAACAAAGACGGGCCACTAACGTAACGAGAAGAACTTAAAGCTGGGGAGCGGTCGCTGCCTGATCTGAAGCTTTTTGTTTGGTCTTTTGAGCAAACGAATACAACAGGATGTAAATATTGAGACATTCTCAAAAAAAATCAAACCTGTATATCGTTGAAAATATTAACGCCGCACAAATATGGCGTTTCATTATGTATTAGTCTGCCGCTGTATGGCATTTTAAATAAACACAAATCAATCAAGACAGTTTTATTAGGATCAATAGTTTAGCTTAATGATGTATGATCAAACAAATATACCAATATTTGTCTCTAAAGCGTGAATCCAGAAACCTTAAAATGTCTTCATTGGAACTCCGTAGACGAGGCATACAAGTCGTGCGTCCTGCACAGCGTCAGTATTGCAAAGCCGTGAGTGCGTGTGCTCCCTCAAGGCACAGAGATTCACGCTCTGGCGCCGCAACAAGCAGAAGACGGACGGCCTCCGCGCCGCCTTCGGCATCTCCAGCGACTACGTGGACGGCTCGTCCTTCCACGCCGACCGCAAGGAGAGAGAGAAGGAGAAGAAGGAGCAGGAGCGGCTGGAGAGGGAGAGGCAGCAGAAATACACGTACGTACATTATCATTGTTAATACAATGAATACTACACGCGCGTACGTGACGTCTGCCCCTCTGCTCGCTCAGCCTGGTGGAGGATTCCGATCATTCTGATTCTCCTCCCAAGAAGCGCAGTCGGAAGAAGAAAAAGAAAAACAAGAATAGAGACGGGTGAGCGGAGGAAACGCTCCCGATGATGAAGACAGACTTACGCTAAATATCTTTATACGTGTAGACGCATACATTTATTTTTTGTTCGCTCTGTCTGCAGCTCAGAGAGTCCGTCCCCGTCTCCCCGACGAGAGAAGAAGAAATCCAAAAAGAAGAAGAAGAAAAGGTATTCCTTTAAATAAATGTTTAGGGTGTATGTAAGTATTTCTCGTGGACTTTGATTATTGACTCAACGTTGTGTTTCAGTGGGATGTCCGAGGAGGAAGGAGGAGAAAGGTGGGTCCATCACGTCCGCCCGGCCTCATTTCTGCTTCCTTCTTCGATCTGTAAAAGGAGCTTTTTGGCTCTGAAAGCTGATTCTGCTCCTTTAAACGTGTTTCTTGTCATCAAATATAAACGCTTTGAGATTGAACAAATCTACTGGATTATGTGTCTCCTCTCAAAGCTCTTCAGATGAGAAGCAGACGTCAAAGAAGAAAACCAAGAAGAATCAAAGTCCTCCGGTGCGACACAGAGGCGCCTCCTCCAGCTCCGCCGACAGGTACCAGATGATGACGCCGTCGCATCTTCGTCAACGCGTTGACTTAAATCTGAATATCCGGCTTCTGAAAATGCGTTTTTGTTTTCCTCTGATGTAACAGCCCGTCTCCGGCGCCGCTGAGATCACGGCAACCGGACCAGACTGTGAGGACCGCTGATGAGGGGAGAAAGGGGAGATCCCCAGAGAGGAGGCGACCCGGTCAGGGAGGAGAAGGGGTGAGTTACTTAAAAACCTCCCATAATGTTTGTTCTGCTCAGGAACATAAAATGACACCAACAAATCTTCCCTCATGTAGAAGAGGTCCGACCATGGGAGAGAAAAGGAGACGCAGGGTGACGTGGAGAAGACCTCCAAGAGGAGACATGACTCCTCGTCCCCTTCCCCACCTCCGCAGGCAGAAAAAAACAAGGAGAGGGAGAAAGGGAGGCGATCCAGGAGCAGGGAGGTGGAGAAAGGGAGGCGATCCAGGAGCAGGGAGGTGGTCAAAGGGAGGCGATCCAGGAGCAGGGAGGTGGAGAAAGGGAGGCGATCCTGGAGCAGGGAGGTGGTCAAAGGGAGGAGATCCAAGAGCAGGGAGGTGGAGAAAGGGAGGCGATCCAGGAGCAGGGAGGTGGTCAAAGGGAGGCGATCCAGGAGCAGAGAAAAGAGGGAGAAAGGGAAGGAGAGTGCTCCTCAGAGGGCCAGGCATGACTCATCATCTTCCCGTTCTCCTTCTCCTCCTCCTCCTCCCCCCTTAAAACCGGAGATGAGGGAGAGGAGCAGAGACACTGCGCGGGAAAAAGACAGGAATAAACTGGACAAAAAGAGACGTGACTCTTCATCCCCCTCGCCTCCCCCTGTGAAGGAGAGGAGAGAGAGGAGCGCAGAGAGGGAGAGGAGGACTGAGAGAGCTCCGAACTCCAGGCAGACCAATGAAACCAGGAGAGACGCTGGTAAGAGGCTGGAGAAAGCGGCGTCTCCTACCAGGAGGAGGGACAGAGGACGGTCCTCACCTGTCTCCAATGGCTGCCAGCGGGGGAAGGAGGGCGAGAGCGTTAAGGAGAAGGAGCGGCCTCCCAACATGCAGCGGGAACAAGAGGGCGGCAGGAAGAGAGACGAGGAGGTCCGCTCGACGGCAGAGAGCAGGAGAGGCGCTGGGAAAGGAGACGAGAAGACGAGCCTCGTGAGGAAGGAGAAACGCCGGGATGACAAGGAGAAAGGGGGGAGCGGCAGCAGCAGCGGCAGCAGTAGTAGCGGCAGTAGCAGCAGCAGCAGCGGTAGTGACAGCGATAGCTCCTCCTCCTCCTCCTCCTCTTCATCGTCCTCTGAAGATGAGGGCAAGGCGAAGAAGGAGAAAAGCGCCCCGGCTGCCGTTAGCGCTGCAGTAGAAAGGTATTTGGCAAACGGTCGGAAAGAGAGCCCGGCGTCTGCTCGCGAGGGGGCGGGGCCTCCACCCAGCCAGGGGAGGAGAGAAGGTGGAGGAGACAAACGGGAGAAGCAGAGACCGCCTGCCGAGAGCAACAAAGGCCAGGAGCGCTACAGCCCCACACAGATGGACAGCCCCAGTCCTCCCCCGTCCGGCAGAGCGCAGCCCGCCAGGTCCTCCCCCTCGGAGGCCCGAGCCGACAGAACCAGGGGGGCCGGGGAAAGGGAGAGGAGGGGGGACAGGGACACAGCCAGGAGGCCTGCAAGGACCAGCCCCTCAGCCAGGAGGTCACGCTCTCCCTCCCCAAAACACACCACGTCCTCCCCCCCACGTCGGACCCCTCCCCGGCAGTATCAGGAACCCCCGCCCAGATCCAGGAGAGCTTCTCCCCCTCCAGACAGGCAGAGAGAGCGGGAGAGGGAGCGGGAGAGGGAGCGGGACAGGGAGCGGGAACGGGACAGAGAGAGGGACAGAGAGAGGGAGAGGGAGCGGGAACGGGACAGGGAGAGGGAGCGGGAACGGGACAGGGAGAGGGAGCGGGACAGGGAGCGGGTTACCGGTAGAGGTCGGTCCAGAAGCCCCAGAAGGCGCAACAGGTCGAGGTCGAGAAGTCCAAGGAGACCAAGCCCCCCCAACAGGTAACTTCTAAAACGACGCCTTTAATCAATCAGTTAAGATCATTTACACATCTAACAAAAAAACCCTGTTGAAGTTCCCTTGAAGTGATTTTATCTCATGACGGGGGAGGGAGGGAGGGAGGGAGGTGCGACACGCTCGATCCAAACTAACCAGTCTGATGTTTTGCTCCTCCAGGCCGCGGCGCTCCGCCTCCCCACAGCGGCGTCGGAGGAGCAGTCGCTCAGTCTCCAGAGAGCCGGCGAGAGGAAGGGAAGCCGAGAGGATCAGGCCGAGGGAGCAAGAGAGACCACGGGTGAAGGAGCCCCTCCTCCCCAAAGAAGATCCCCAGCCCCACAGGTCCTCCTCGTCCTCCTCGTCCTCCTCCGGCTCCTCCTCCTCCTCCTCTTCCTCTTCGTCCTCGCCTTCCCCGCAGCGAACGAAGGAGGCCAAAGCACCGGCAGAGAGCGAGGAGGAGAAGGAGGACGGAGGGCAGAAAGGCGGTCCTCCCAGAGACTCCTCCCACAACCCGTCCTCAGGTAGCAGAAGCTCCCAGTTGGACTCCAGGCGCTCCGACGCCCCCCCCAGAAAGTCTCCTCCAGACACCAAGCCGCCCCCACGCGGTCCTAGCGGGAAGGGGTCGCCAGGGACGACCCCCCCGCCTCCGCAACCACCGGCGAGGAGCGAGGGCGCCGTGAACGGAAAGGAGGAGAGTGGCAACAAGAAGGCCAACCAGAGCAGCAGCAGCAGCAGCAGCAGCTCCTCCTCTTCCTCCTCCTCTTCCTCTTCCTCCTCGTCGTCCTCCTCGTCCTCCTCCTCAGACAACTCCGACTCCGAAGAGGAGCAAGGGAAAGGGTGAGCGGGGCTACAAAGAAAGCGCCTTTTTCCAGTTATGGAAGTAACACGCCTCCTCTGACATCATGATGATGTCACATGACCTTCTCACTTTGTTTTAACAGGACGATCAAAGCTCAGAGTTCTGCTTCGTCATCGGAGAATGAAAAGGAAACCAGCAAGAAGAGGTGAGACTGGCTGCTGGGGTCAAAGGGCCCTTTGAGTGGTGCATTGTGGGGACTGCAGTCCCAGCGTTGTGCGTGACTGTGCTGTCGTCCTCAGCCCCGCCCCCCCTCAGAGGGTTCCCGCTGATTCCCTGAGGGACTCCCGCTCACTCAGCTACTCTCCCCCGAAGTACCTGAGGGCAGCGCCGGCCTCGCCGAGCCGCAGGTGTGTAGCCGCCGCGGGGGAATCGACCCCTCGTGGGTGACCTGAAGTACACGTTTAACATTCTAACGAGGACTCTCGTCTTTAGGAGCGGCGGCAGAGGGTCACCGAGCCGCTCGGCGGGCAGCAGGCGGAGGAAATGAGGCGCGCCCCCCCCCCCGGTAACGTGGACCTCACAGCCGCGGGTCAGTAGATGAAACCTCCGCGTGGCGGCTCACAACCAAAACGAGTCCCCGAAACATTCACTCATCATGTGTGTGTGTCTAACAGACGCACACACAGATAAGCAAAGTGTTTCTCCAACGATGTTCCTGCGTACTTGTACTGTTTGTTGCGTTCGACCTGTAGATATGAGCGGCCTGTATTTTGGTTATTATCCTGTAACGGGTTCAACTTTCCATTCGATGTGAGCAGAATATGAAATGTGATGATTTTTTTTTTTTTTTTTTTTGTTGGTTGTTATTAAAATGGTTAATAAAAGACAATTGTACATTTTATTTGTGTGGCATCTTTCTGTGTCTATTGTGGGAGAGAAAGGTCATCTGATCTGATATCAAGAATACATACAGGTTTATTTTAACATGGTGAAATAGTCAATACAGTCCTTTTAAAACTGCACCTTTTTGTTTTTTGATCAACGTCTTTCGGCGGAGAGACACTCGCACTGTGGCTTTAGGTTTCGTTTGCATTTACAAACGTAGAAAAATTGGCAGTGGTATATTGTCACATTGGTTTAATTTGATGTTAAAGAAATACATGTTAACATTTGTGTAAGCAATATGAAGCTTGATTCCATTGATTTATTTCTAAGTTTAAAGCAACTAAAGTCACGTTTGTAAGAGTTTATGTTCATAAGTTGACATCCAAATCCTCAAAGTATATTGTTACTATATTACTGTTTCACCAGCTGTGACCAGAAGCTGTTGCTATGGTGAAACCATGATTCCGACGTCACTTTTAGGCGTGACTTTAATCCTAGTTTCACGTCACACTAATCTTACGTAAAGTTAATCTCGCCGTTTGTTTCCCTCTGAAGCCGCGATGTGTGAAGTCCTGTTTCTACGCTTCACGGGAACTCGGTGCCCCCGGTTAGAGGGGAGGAGGGTCCCTCAAAGCGCCTTTACTATGAAACGTCTGGTGCCAGCGATACGGGATTTTCCCATAGCACTTGAACGCGGCCTCGTGCTGTGAGGCAGGTGTGGTCGGCGGGGAGACGTTCCGCCCGGAGACACATCAGCGGACTCTACCGGACGAGGACGACGTGTCGCCGGGGACAGGAAGACACCAACGAGTGAGACCAGGCCGCCAGAGTAAGTGGTCCCGTTTTACGAGCGTCTGCGTCAAAGTTCCTCGCGGGAGTGAGAAGTTTTCATGACGTCATCGGAGGGCCGGGTTCAGGCCGCGGTCCGTCTCTCCAGACCGCGGAGACAAAAGGCGCGTTTCGGCGTTTCTCGGCGTTTCGGCGTCACGGCACGCGGCTTTGAAGCGCGAGTGTTGCTTTTTCTGAGCTCTTGCGGGATCCTCGGTCCTCCGGGCGAAGCGGTCCGCGGCTCGCATCGCCCACGTTGGACTTAACTCGTGATCCGAACTGTTCGTTCGGCGCTAACGTGGGCAGCGACGTGACGTCACAGTAACGTCTAGAAGCAGTTTGACGTCCAGATGAATCAACATTTGTGTTTTCAACGTGCCGCGTTGTCGTTGTCGAAATATCTGCTCAAGTTAAGAAAGGACAAGGAGCAGAACCGCCATCCCATAATTTAGAGAGATCCAGTGGAAGTCAGTTTCCTCTAGTGCCGCAGCTGCTGGTCCGATACGGTAATAAACCGTACGCGTTAATCTCAACTACGCCGGATTAACCGTTGTTCTCACGTAGGGATCGGTTAGATGTTAAACCGGAGGGGCTGACGGTGACCTTTCTGTGTTCTGGTTGACCTTTGTCCTCCTTCATTATACAATGATGTATTGATCTAAAGTTTAGATTCTAAACTTTCAGGAAATAGTCAACTGTTCTTTACACAGCTGTGAAATAAAGGCAGATTTTGGGGGATTTCCACTATGCAGAGTTATATGATGACTAACGCAAGACATGACACGATTTTATTTTAAAAGGCTCTCATCACCTCTGTCACTCAAACATTAGTACATTTCACATTTTGTGAATTATAGCTGGTATTTATTCCATATATATATATATATATATATATATATATATATATATAGAAAGAAACCGCAGATGTTCTTCCTGTTTTTATGGAATAATGTCCCAACATTAACTGAATCCAGCTCACCAAACTCCACTTCCTGTTTCAGCTGTGTGCCCGCCTTCAGGATGACAGACAGGCAGAGACACAGAGAGAGAGACAGATAGAGAGAGAGACAGGGCAGAGAGAGACAGACAGATAGAGAGAGAGACAGGGCAGAGAGAGACAGATGCAGAGACAGACAGATAGAGAGAGAGACAGACAGATGGAGAGAGAGACAGGGCAGAGAGAGACAGGGCAGAGAGCTCCTGTCTCTCAGTGGGAGGAGGAAGTTCTCCTCAGTGACTCAGCTGTTGAGGAGCGGGGGGCGATGAAGGGAACTCGTATCGTGAACCGATGAGCACAAGCAGCGGTGGGAAAGAAGTCTCATGCTTTTATCTTGGTAAAAATGTACCTCTGACACGTAGTAACAGCGTGACCTCATGCTTGTGTTTGAGAGCGTTTATCTTCATTGGGATTAACGGCCTGTTTGATGTTTCGTCCTTTAACCTCAGGGTGTGGTTGACCTTCGACCCCAGACAAGCTCAGAGGAACCTCGCCACGGATCCGCTTCTCTTTTTAAAAAAACATTATTTTTTAATCAAGCAACAGCCACAAAGTGCCCTCAAGGTGAGGCCTTCAGACATCTGAGAAGACATCCAGGAGATTGATGAGTTTCCCCGGTTGGAGCCCCGTCCCCTGCAGAGCGTCGTTGGGTGGAACTGAAACTAAGGTGGAACCACGCAGTTCTTTTTAGAACCATGAACGCCCCCAGAACAAAAACACCGTGCACAATTTAAAGTGAACATCCTCGCCATGTTTGTGATGCTCTGAGACGCTCTGAGGTCGTAGCTCCTCAGAAACCAGGACCATCGCCTCCTGCTGAGAGACGAGTGCACCTGCAGACCCAGAGAGCCCCCAGATGGCCGGCAAGGACTACAACCACCTCTTCAAGCTGCTCATCATCGGAGACTCCAGTTAGTGCACTCTGCTCCACTCACTTTACCTGAGGACGTGCAGATGTTAAACTGTCCTGAGGACAGTTTAGCTCTAGTAGTGTCACTTCCTTCTGCTTCACCACAACTACACAAACTGACCTGAGAAAGAAGAAACGAGCCTCGGCGGTTTCAAACCGACAACCAGGGCATCGGGCACATTTGCTACAAACTGCACAGACCTGAGGGGTTTGAAACTTAAACATCTCAATACTTGAACCCCAATGTTACTTATGGAGGATGTGACTCATCAGGTCTGAAAGCATGAATGAATCATTCTGTCTAATGCAACGTGATCTTTAGCAATACTTAAATACTTCATTGGTTTACCTGCAGATCAGATTATAATTCATATCGGTTTGTCAGGTCTCCTTTGAACCTACTTCAAGGTAGTATTGGTTTACCTTTTCTCCTCTGGGTCAACAGACACCTGACTGGTTCCTCTCCTCCTGATTGGTCACATTCATTTCCTGGTTGTGAGCTAATCCTGTCCCTCTGATCTCCTCTCAGATGTGGGGAAGAGCAGCCTCCTGCTCCGCTTCGCCGACAGCTCCTTCTCCGGTGAGTTACCGCAGCCAGCTGAAGGTAGTCCTGATCCCCGAAGGTAGTCCTGATCCCCGAAGGTAGTCCTGATCCCCGAAGGTAGTCCTGATCCCCGAAGGTAGTCCTGATCCCCGAAGGTAGTGCTGATCCTGAAGGTGGTTGTAGCAGGACAAAAAGTCCTCCAGGCTCCTCTTTTAGGCTTTGAGGTCTCACCCTCCCATGGGGGCGGCTCGTTTGTGTCCCTCAGGGTGGAGCTGATCCGGTGATGTTTGGAGTCATGATGTAGTTTGTTAATCTGATGAGTCGTGACGTCATTCATTGAGACGTTGGATGTCCTCTTGTCTCCTGCAGGAAGCTACATCACCACAATCGGAGTGGACTTTAAGATCCGGACCGTGGACATCGACGGGGAGCGAGTCAAGCTGCAGATCTGGGACACAGCGGGACAGGAGAGGTTCAGAACCATCACGTCCACGTACGTCTCCTCCTCGGTCCTCACAGAGTGTCCTCCTCTCCTCTGTCCTCACAGAGAGTCCTCCTCTCCTCTGTCCTCACAGAGAGTCCTCCTCTCCTCTGTCCTCACAGAGAGTCCTCCTCTCCTCTGTCCTCACAGAGAGTCCTCCTCTCCTCGGTCCTCACAGAGAGTCCTCCTCTCCTCTGTCCTCACAGAGAGTCCTCCTCTCCTCTGTCCTCACAGAGAGTCCTCCTCTCCTCTGTCCTCACAGAGTGTCCTCCTCTCCTCTGTCCTCACAGAGAGTCCTCCTCTCCTCTGTCCTCACAGAGAGTCCTCCTCTCCTCTGTCCAGGTACTACAGGAACACGCATGGCGTCATCATCGTCTATGACGTCACTAATCCCGAGTCCTTTGTCAACGTGAAGAGATGGTTAAACGAGATCTCCCAGAACTGTGACAACGTCTGCAAGATCCTGGGTGAGTGGACATAAAGACAACAATAATATAAACCGCATGTTTGTGTGACATGTGTGTACTACGTGTACTCAGTCAGCATGTACTACACTACGTCGTACATGTACTATGTAGAACGTCATTTATTGTAAATCATAACTTCTTCCACTCAGTTTGATATTTTTCACTATTGTTTCGGGGCGAATAAATAAAGTGTATTTCTGTAGCACATTATTACTGCGTTTTGTACTTTGTGATTATGAAGCTTCTTCGGTTCGTATGAAGTTTAAACTGTGACTGTTTTTAAATGGAATCAAATAAATGCCATCACGCCCACGTACCCCAGCATGAGCTCAGTGCTCATCAGTGAGCATCCTCTCTCCTCTTCAGTGGGAAACAAGGACGACGACCCCTCCAGGAAGCAGGTGGATACCCAGGATGCATTGCGCTTTGGGGAGTCGACGGGGGTCCGTGTGTTTGAGACCAGCGCCAAAGAGAACATAAACGTGGAAGAGGTTTGATTCCAGGTTTTGTCTTTTGTAGATGTTTGGCTGCACTTTTATGTGCAGGTTGGTTCACACTGGTGATCATCTGTGTTTTAATTTAGTTTTAAAAAGCAGAGTGAAATAAATAATTTAGATGCATATTAATGATCTGTCAAAACATTACTCTCCATCAAGGTTTGATTCAAAAACATATTGAGCCTTTCTTATGTTAATATCAGCCAGGAAAAAGAGGACAAAACAGTAAATAAATAAATAAATAAATAATGACTTGATGAATGATTTTAGGTTGGGTGATGTCATCAGTCTGTCCATAACTGGCATGTGGGGATTAACGCTCACTTATTTGTGTGTGTTTCCAGATGTTCATGGCCTTCACCCACATGGTGCTCTGGGCCAAGAAGCAGAGCCAGAACCGAGCGGAGAGGGAGCGAGAGCGCGAGAAGGACACGGTCAACATCAACGCCCACAGGGACCGCGACCGCCGGAAGAGAGGCAGGAAGTGTTGCTGAGGGGGGGCGGGGCCTCAGTCAGGAGACGAGGTCCAGACCCCCCAGGACCCGGGTCCCTCAGCACCGATGAGTTAGAGGAGCATGCCGATGAGGTTTGATCTCACTAACTAAAGGTCACACGGCAGAGAGCAAAGGTCACGAGGTCGTGTCTGCTAATAACGGGAAAGATCATAAAAGACGATTCTCCTGGAGAAAGATTCTACGCGTTCTGACACTTCGTCGGGCGTAGCTTTCATTTGAAGGAGTTTGTGACCGTTGACCCCAACATTCTAAGCGTGATGAATTATTAAAGTTTGTTCTAACGACTAACATCGGCTAGCCACGTTGCCGTGGTGACGTCGCTAGATGTTAAGGTCTTGGTGCAAAACCCAACGACATCCTGGTTGAATCATTTCAAGTTACTGTGACGTGGACGTTCATGCTCTCCAGAGGATGGACCCGCATCTCTTTGGTGACGCTTCATCGCTGGCATTGAATTCAACTTTCCACTTGAGCAACAAATCTCAAGTTGTTGTGAAGCTGTCGCTCGCCAGAGGAGGAACCGGACGCTCCCCAGAGGAGGAACCCAGTGACCGTTCCTTTGGGATAAAACTGGAAGTCTGAGCAGACAAAACTGACTTTTGATTTAAAGGTATAGTGGTGAAGTTGATCAGATTGGTAAACGTGTGGCTGAGGGGGAGGAGCCTCTGGTACAACCTTTGACCTTGAGAACCTCTGTCTCAACACAGTAAAATAATTTGACCACTGAAGGGGAACCTGGACACAATAACTGTGTGTGTACTGTTATGTGCTTCTTTACTGTCATTGTTTTAAATAGCTACGCCCAAATAAAGCAATAAATCCAGAGTAAGTTTGCATCTCAGTATTTCCTCACACCCCTTTAAACAATCCCTCTTTATTAAGTCAATGATGAGCAAACATATTTAGATTTAGCTGTTAATAGTTAAAAATAATTAATCGCACATTTTGAAATTCATTAATCTCGATTAACAAATGTTTTTAATGTTTGTTTTTCTTCTAAAGTCTAAATCTTAATGAGTAATTACTTTTTGAAGTGACAACAATGTCCCACATTTAGCAGGATGTTTTCAAACCACCGTCTTTTAGGGACACAGTGGTGGTCCTCTGCAGACTAACGTTAGATGTTGAGATGGTGGCAGCCTAGCAGCTAGCTTAGCGTAGCGGTGCATTAAGTGGTCTGTTTGCCACTCGCCCCCTTCTCACATGGAGTAATTCACCGTTTATTTTACTTCCAATTCAAAAAGCTCCATCTTGATGTGCCTGACTGCAGCTAGCCGCCGTCGGGTTTCCACGGTTTAACTTTGTTTACCGGAAGTAGGCATACGTTAAAATATTATATGGATTAATTCAGCCACATTAATCGCATAGATTAATGCGTTTGTTGACAGCCCTACATTATTCTCACTGAGTTAATTCTTTTAACCCACACACAGATTTACAGTTTAAGACGTCTATCTGTAATGTTGTGCTGTAGAGAAACAGACCACAGCGCTCTTTAGGACTTAAATTCTTTATCTCCCACAGAGACAAACTTAGTGATGAACCGGATGTGTTCTGTTAGGATGTTGTTTCTCTTTTAAAGGGTTCACATACAGACAAAAGTTTTGACCCTAAGAACAGCTCGAAGCTTTTCAGGATCTCTGAGGGGGAAGTGAAGCTTTTCTGATTTCCATCCGGAGAATCACATACAAGAGACACTTGAGAATTATAACAATTTCACTTCCTGTGGCTAAATAAACATTGGGGGTAGAAGTGCTTTTATTTTGAAAAACAGACTTCAGTGGATTTTTTATTAAAAATAAGCTTCATTTATTTTGCATAAAAATACAGTTTAACTTGCTCCTTCCACCTGAGGATCCAACAGGATTTTATATCTTCCCATCGAGATCAGTATTTTCCTATTTCCCAGTCGGCACCTGAAGGCAGCATCTCCCTCTCAGTTGGATTTGGGGAGTCTGTAGACCCCTGCAGAGACCATCAGCTGATGCTCCCTGACCTTTCGCTGCAGGAAGGCCTCCAGCTCGTTGACGTCCATCTCCGTGACAACGGGTCCCGTGGCAACGAACATCCGCAGCATAGAGTGGATGCGGTCCAGCGTCATGCTGTCCAGGTTGGTGAGCATGGCCTGGATGTAGGCCCAGAACAACTGAGGAGAGGAGCCATCAGTCACCTGATCAGCGTGTGTGTCTGTGTGTGCGTGCGTGTGCACACATACGTACCTGCAGCTTCTCCTCCCGCTGCTCCGACTGGGTGGTGGTGTTTGAGTCCCTCTCCTCGTCGCTGTCGATCAGCATCACGCCTCGCTCCATCTTCTCCCGGGAGGAGCCCGTCTCCACCACGTAGAATCGCCCCCCCGCCTCCTCCCTCAGCACGCCGTGCTGCTGCCACAGCGCCAGCTTCCTGTGCAGCAGCTCCTTCGGGGCGCCCAGCTTCAGGCTCAGCTCCTCCAGCGACCAGGAGCCTGACGGAAGACACAAGTGTTAAGGAGGAGCATTAGAGGCCCGTCAGGGGCAGAGGTCACCGGGGGTCGTACTTTTCTCCTGGAAGTGCAGGATGATGGCGGCGTGGACGGGGGACACGGTGAGGTTGGTGAGGGTCCGGTCCTCCAGCTCCAGGTCCAGAGTCACTGAGCCCAGGTGAGGCTTCCAGCTCAGCGTCCTCATGGCCTGAAGAGAAGAAAAGAAAATACGTCCTCAGATGAACTTTTCTGTAGTGAACCCCCCCCCCCCCCCGTCTGGGCGCCCCACCTTGAGCTTCTCGTAGCGGTGGGTGTAGGCCTCCATGGCCTGGCACACCAGTGGGGGCAGCTCCAGCTTCTCCTCCTTCAGCGGGGGCCAGAACTCTGAGGAGAGTATGATGGAGGAGAGGGAGAGCGCCGGCTGCTCCTCCTCGCTCAGCCTGGACTCCTCCTCCCGGATGTTACTGTTGATCCTCCGGGAGTCGGCCATGTCCTGAGGGAGGGGGGGGAGATCTGTTTATTTAACTCAATGTTATTAAGTTTTTATTATAGTAGTTATTATTCCCCATTTACACAATTGGCTTAATAACTCGACTATGCGTTACCATGGTAACCAGGGAGGAGATCAAAGCGAACATCAGGTGTTGAGTTTACCTTCAGCATCACCTCGCAGTAGTGCATGTGAGACTCCCCGAAGCGGAGCTTCAGCAGCTCCACGTTGCGGATCTCCCTGAAGACATTCAGGAGTAACGATCACAAAGATCAGATTATGTATTATACATTGTTACATGAAGGACGTTCTTAATGAAAGCAGAACAGCGCGGGTCTGTATGCTGCTTCCCAATGATGTCACCGCGCCGGGTGGTGCAGGCCTACCTGGCGGTGTTGTAGTTGAGTTGGTGCAGCAGCCGGTCGGCCAGCACCGCCCGGTACTCGTCGATGAAGATGTCCTTGCTGCCGTAGATGCTGACTAGCAGGCTGATGATGTCAGAGGAGCGCCGCTTGGAGCCCGTCTTCTCTGGAGGAGAGAGGGAAGGGGAGGGGGTTAGCCTCTCATTGGTCCGACTCCAGAGCCGCCAACTGGTGCGTTCGCTGACCGGGCACGGCGTCGGTCGGGTCCGGATTCCAGTCCTCGGGGTCGGTGCCCTCCTCGTCGCTGTCCTGCATCTCCAGGGTGACGGGGTCCCCGCGGGACAGCTCCGAGGCCAGATCCGTGCAGCCCTCCGCGTCTCCGGTGAGGCCGGCTACGATCTGCCTCACCGTGTCCTCCCGGGTCCTTGAACGCACCACAGAGGCTTCAGCACACCGTAACCCCGGCGATGAAGCAGCTACACTAACTTAGCTTGATTAGGAAACCTTACCTGAGGTACTTGCGGATGGGCTGGCAGGCGACCTGCAGGATGACCATGGAGGGGTCGAGCTCTCGGAGCGCCTTGATGGCCGAGATGTACACGGTGAGGATGTCGGACGTGTGGACTCCTGAAATTGAGAAATGAGAAATGGAGAAGCCATCTTCACGTTGGCCACTCACCAACGCTCTGCTCCACTGACTCACCCGGGTGCAGCAGGCGGCTCTCGAAGGCCGACTTCAACGAGGTGAGCAGCTGCTGCCTCTGGTTGGTCCTCTCCAGGCAGAACTTCAGGTCTTCGATGGCAGCTTTGGATTCTGGGAAATCTGACAGGAGGCGGTTGATAAACATGAGAGAAATGTATCAAATCATTTCTGCTCCGGGCCGAGGTTTGTTTAGCGTAGCTTAGCATAAAGACTGGCAGCGGGGCAAACCACTCGCCTCTCACCTCTGATTATACTGAAGAGCTCCTCGATCCTCATGTTGACGTAGATCCTGCAGAAGAACTGGTGCATGTGGCACCTCCACTGCTTCAGGACGGAGCCCCCGGGCTGGACGGCGGCAGCCACGGGGCCCCCGGCAGCACTAGGAGCAGGTCCGGCGCCCTCTCTGTCCGCCTCACTGGCAAACACCTTGCTGAGCCAGCCCAGCACCAGCTCCAGCCACTGCTCACACAAAGACACCATCAGCCTCCACTCAGGACGATTCTACGTCAGGAGGATACGGAGGAGAGACGGGCGGAGGTTTTACCTCCTGGAACTCCAGCAGGAAGGAGCGCTCGTACTCTCCCCGGCAGTGCTGCTCCATCCGCTGCTCGATGAGCTTGTGCAGGATGGAGGTGACGGCCTCCGAGCTGACCCACTCCAGCAGCTGCAGCTTGGAGCTTCAACGACAAGCTGAGAGTCAAACACACGTCCTCCTGCACACTGCGGCCATCAACACACTCGCTCTCCACTCACAGGGTGTGGCTGAGGTCGTGGAGCTGCTCCAGGGCCTCCTTACACCAGCACCGTTGGGCCGGGACCCCGCAGCCCGGACAGGCCCCTCGCTCGGGGCCCTCCGGGGGCTCGGCCCCGTCCTCCGCCTGCCCCTCCTGGCTCATGTAGACGGAGAAGGTCCTGCTGTAGAACTCCAGCACTCGCTCCTGGAGCACCGGAGCGGGGGAGAAGAGGAGCAGGGCCCTGATGATGGTGACGGCGCGCTCCTGGAGGCCCCCGGGCCCTGGGCCGCAGAGACCACTGCGGCCCTCGTCCTGCCACGCCTCCAGCTTCTTCAGACCGCCTGGAGGAGGAAGAGCGACATATGAATGACGTGTGGATCTCTCATCCGCCCTGAACTCACCATCTCTTCCACTTGCCCAGAAAAGGTTCCAGCCGGTCCAGTAGGGTCCGGAAGGTGGTGAGGAGAACCCAGGCCCGGCCCCGCTCCTCCAGCTCGTTCTCCGGCTGCCTGAGTCCGGACCAGAACTCGGGAACCACCGAGGAGGACAGACGCATCTGCAGAGTCTCCAGCAGCCAGCCGCCCAGCAGCCGGCCCAGACCCTGAGCGCACAGCAGGGCCAGAGAGTCCGAGAGGCTCTGATCCAGAACCGGGCCGCCCGGGGACATCTAGAGTGTGGAACAGAGTCACGTGTTCATCTTGTGCAGCCGGATATCGACAAAGCCACTAATCTGTGCATCCACCAGAACAAAAGGGATCTCATCCACCTGGACCAGGATCACTTTGACCACAGCGCATCCGGGCATATGTAACAGGAAGTCTAACATAACGTTAACCGAATTTACCCAAAGACACCCATCTAGTTAACAAAGTGTTCTACGTCACGACCTCCCTACTGTCAACCGACGCTACGAGCGAGACAACCTTAAATGGTGACATTTTTGAACGGGATCCGGTGGCGTCGGTTCGCTTCATCTTGTGCGGTGATGACTCGCACTCACCAGCGCGGCAGCGACGGTCTCCCACGCGCCGGCGACCCCTCCGTGTCCCGACGTGTCGGCGGACTCCATCGCGATGTCTTCCATGTCCTCTTCCATGTCTTCTTCTATTCTTCCATTCCGTTCTGCGGACACAGCGAACTAGCTAGCGCGAGAACATTTGAACTTTAGATGTGTTTTGTGTCCGTAGAACGTCAGTAAAACGCTTCACATCCTGTATATCGCGTATGATGCATTAATAATAATATAATAAGAACTGCTTTCATCTATAAAACCGTTTCTGAAGTCCATTTATTTGAAATCACGTCACATGGTTCTTGCTCGGCTATCGCGCGTTTGACTCTCTTCTTCTTCTTCTTCTTCTTCTTCTTCCCTGAATAAAGTAGACAGGCTGTAGGCTAAAACGCTCCACTGCCCCCTCGCGCTGACTCGGACCCTGTATTAGCCTACCGCTACTTTTATTTTGAAGTTTGCATGGAAGTGTTTCTATGATATTGTGTCTATCGCTAACACTATTGAACTTGATGGTTCGTTTGGAATCAATTTGTGGGTATACCTTCTGTTTGTGGCTCTTTACTTTGTTTTGTTTTTGTTATTCTATTGTGATTTTAAATACGAACTAAAGTCGACCTTTGAATCCATACTATATATTTCCGAAAAGAAAACACGTTAATGCAACAGCAATAACAAAGTGATGATGATTAAATGATTAAAGTAAAAATGACATGTAGTAGTAGTAGCAGTAGTAGTAATAGTAGTAGTAGTAGCAGTAGTGTTGTGCACTGTAGCCACTGGAGGGCAATGAAGACCATCAACACACGCCGTCACTCACCTTCCATAAAATCACACATGCTGACACTTCCGGTAAAGATATTCAAAGTAAAATGATCAACATTTCCTTCCTTCGTGAATATGAATGTTACGTTTATTGCCGACGTCACGCAGGGTCAACTGGTTGTTGGGTTGCGTGATTATTTTTTTCTTCTTAGCGAACAACTTTCCCGTTGTTGTGTCGCGGTTAGAAAGCTCCGTGTCGATCACCGTTTTTAAGCACAAGCTAACGCTAGCTTAGCCGCGGCTCGCAGAAGCACCGTCATGGCAGCCGAGTGCGAGTGAGTTTGATGACAGTGTGAATATCGCTTTGAACCCCAAACACATCCCGTGACACTCCTCGCACTAAATGCAGTTTGTCTACTCGGTTTCTCAGTGAGAGTGAAATCTGATGAAACGTGACGTCACTCTGATGTAGCTAACGGTTACTGGCCGCACAGCGTGCTAACCGGCCAACGCTAGCTCAGGGAGCGTGAAGCATAACTGCTATAAAACAGCACAGAGAGGCAGCAGCACAACTTAAATGGTATATTTATGTTCTCCACAGTGTGACGTCTGAAATCGAGGTGCTGCAGTCGATCTATCTGGAGGAGCTGCTGGTCAACCGGAGAGAAGACGGGTGAGACTCTTCTTAAATTAGCATTAGCTGACATTACATAACTCTCCTTCATTAGCTTTAAGGTAACAATTAACGGTAGATATTCATGCGACATGAATATAGTACTTGTTGATGTAATTGGACTAGTCTCTCTTATGCCTTTATACATGTCAGATATTTGTCATTTGACAGCCTGCGTCACTTTTCAGATGCTTTGATGTTGAATGTTAGTGATGAACGTCTTCAACGTTGTGTGTGTGTGTGTGTGTGTGTGTGTGGGTGTGTGCGCGCGCGTGCGTGTCGTCTCCATAGCGACTGGGAGGTGAGCCTGGTCCTCTACCCGTCCACAGCCGAGGACTCTGTGTCCCAGTTCGTGCGGCTCACCCTGACTCTGACCCTGGATCAGCAGGTGTGGTGTCCTCATCTCAGCCTCCGCGTTCCGTGACTCCCAGTTGGAATCGATCATAATGTAGAATCTGACTGAAGTTGTCTCCTCTCTGCTTTGCTCAGTACCCCTCGACCTCTCCAGCCATCTCCATCCACAACCCTCGGGGTCTTTCCGACGATAAGATCAGCAGGTAGGTGGCTGATCACAGTCACGGCTTTCTGCTGTTTGATCGTTTGTGTGAAACCCTGAAATCTCGTGCAACTCCTTTTCCCCAGTGTCCAAAAGTGTCTTCAGTTGGAGGCTCAGTCCTGTCTGGGTTCACCGGTGTTGTATCAGCTCATTGAGGTCACTCTATCTCCAATTCTTTTAATATATTTTTTGTATACGATTTCACTGGATCCTTTGTCTCGTGAGGCGATGATGAGTAACTTTTCTCCTCCTGTTTGTTCTCCAGAAAGCAAAAGAAATCCTGACTGAGAGTAACATTCCTCATGGAAACTGTGTCATCTGCCTCTACGGCTTCAAGGTGCGCCGCTTCATTACATTACATTACATGTCATTTAGCTGACACTTTTATCCAAAGCGACGTACAATAAGTGCATTCAACTACAGGGTACAAACTCAGGAGAACAAGAAACAAGAAAGTGCAATTTCCTCAAATAAGCCAATTTACAATTTGCTATAGATGAGTGACGTTACAAGTACAATTTAAGTGCTACAATTTGTTAGTCTTTAGTCGAGGTAGAGTCTGAAGAGGTGTGTCTTTAGTTTGCGGCGGAAGATGTGAAGGCTCTCTGTGGTCCTGATGTCTTCAGAGCTCGTTCCACCATTTCGGCGCAAGGACAGCGAAGAGTCGAGACCTAGAAGAGTGTTTTGCTCTCAGTGAGGGAGGAACGAGTAGTTTTGCAGATGCAGAGCGGAGAGTGCGGGTTGGGATGTAGGGTTTGACCATGTCCTGGATGTAAGCTGGACCCGATCCATTCACAGCATGGTACGTGAGCACCAATGTTTTGAACTGGATGCGGGCGGCCACCGGTAGCCAGTGAAGAGAGCGGAAGAGTGGAGTAGTGTGGGAGAATTTCAGAAGGTTGAAGACCAGTCGAGCTGCTGCATTCTGAATGAGCTGCAGAGGTCGAATGGCGGTGGCAGGGAGACCAGCCAGGAGGGAGTTGCAGTAGTCCAGGCGGGAGATGACAAGAGCCTGAATCAGTACCTGCGCTGCCTTCTGAGTGAGAAGGGGACGTATTCTCCTGATGTTGTAGAGCGTGTATCTACAGGATCGCGTTGTCGCGGCGATGTTGGGAGTCAGGGAGAGTTGGCTGTCGAGTGTGACGCCGAGGTTCTTAGCGGTCGAAGTGGGCGTTAGCACGGAGTTTCCAAAGTTGACTGTCAGGTCCTGGGTAAGCGAATCTTTTCCGGGAAAGAGAAGTAGTTCAGTCTTGTCGGGGTTGATTTTCAGATGGTGGGCGGACATCCACTGAGTGATGTCAGTTAGACAGGCAGAGATCCGAGCCGCCACCTGGGTGTCCGAGTGAGGGAAGGAGAGAATTAGTTTGGTGTCATCGGCATAGCTGTGGTAAGAGAAGCCATGCGAGCGAATGACAGCGCCAAGAGAGTTGGTGTAAAGCGAAAACAGGAGGGGACCCAGCACGGAACCCTGAGGAACTCCAGTAGTAAGAGGACAAGGTTCCGACACAGATCCTCGCCAGGTTACCCGGTAGGTGCGGCCGTCGAGGTAGGACGAGAGAAGGGAGAGAGCAGAGCCTGTGACACCGAGTTCCTGAAGGGAGGAAATAAGGATCTGGTGGCTTCAACCGGGCCTTTCCTTCATGGAAACAGTCTGCAGGGTGTCGATCCCGATTAGAAAGCAGACCTAGCACACTTTGTTTATCTTGTGTGTCTGTCATCACACGCAACACAGCAGTGTTTACAATGCTGTCATTACGTGATGAGGATTGTTGTTGTTGTTTGTTAGTGCTCATAAAACCAGATGAGTCCGTCTCTGAACTGCAGATGTTTGTGTGCGTCCTGGACGTCCACAGGAGGGAGAGACCTTCTCCAAGACGAGCTGCTACCACTACTTCCACTCCCACTGCCTCGGCCGCTACGCCCGCCACTCAGAGCAGGAGCTCCGCCAGAGGAAGAAGGAGCTGGAGGAGGACAAGACCAGAGAGAGAGCGGAGCGCCAGGTCAGAGTCCACCACCCTGTGTCCTCCGTAAGACATGAACCGGGACACTCACACAGAACAAGTAATGATTCAAGAGATTAAAGTGAAATAAGAAGATGAAATAAAGATGTATTCAGAGGAGACATCAGTCTTTAGGACTTGTAGTCCTAACGTGTAGGTCTGACGTGAGGATAAAGGATGAAGTCTTTGACTCGTGTCCCCCCTGGGAATCCTAACCAGAGGGGCGCTCTGTCATCTGTAGTGCAATGTTTATATCCAGTATAGGTGTCCATATATAATATCTAATGGTGCCCCCTCCCAGGAGCTCACCGTGGTGTGTCCGGTGTGCAGAGAGCCTCTGACCTACGACGTGGACCAGCTGCTGTGCTCCCCGGCCCCCCAGCCACCAGAGGTAAGACCATCTTATCGTGGGTCTCACCACGGGGGGGGGTCCACAGTGCTGCTCTAAAGCCGACGTCCTCTCTCACTCAGCTGGACCAGGCCGCACTCGGCTCCCACTTCCAGCAGAAGTGGTTTGAGCTCCAGAAGCTTCTGGAGAGACAGAAGTCTAAGGGAGGCATCATCGACCCGGAGGAGGAGGCCAAGCGCTTCCTGATCCACACCAACGAGGTGAGAGGACGCCGACTCGCATCACGAACCAGAGCAAGTCTCCTCTTCGTCTGGATTGTACCGTTAAATGATGCAGGTCATCTTTTTATACCGGAAGTGTGTGAACATTATAATTTATTGTTAAAGCTGATCTGACTATCACTGTTTTTATTTCGGAGTAATGACATCATGACTCATGATGTCATTCTACACATCACTGACTCAGACCTTCCTGATGGAACCTTTTTTATGTCGTTTTACTTTTAGTTTCTAAATATGTTTTTATTTGAGGATTATTGAAAGAATAAACTTGGCTGCTATTTAAAGCGTCATGATGTCACATGACCAACCAGGAAGTTGTAACTCCACTCTTTGGCCACTAAGAATGTCCCCAATAATATTCTACAATATAATTTACAGTGGTCTGTCGACTCCCACAGCCCCCCCCCACTGCTGACAATGAACACCAGGACCCCTCCCCTGCAACCCAGCGGCCCTCTGCCCCCAATGCGTGCTCCCATGAACTCGGAGCCAGTGCGGACCACCCTGTGCCTGGACTGTCTCACGGCAGAGGAAGTCAGGGCCCGAGGCGTCATCAGCAGGGGTGGGGGCCGCGGAGAGGAGGCCGGTCCAGACCGCAACACCGAAGAGCCGCCCCCCCCATTGCGGAGCACCTGGACAAACTGTCCCTGACCTCGGACAGACCTCAGGGTCCCCACATGCGAGTAGATGCACAGGCGTCTCAGTCCAAGACCGGCAGGAGTCTCTGCGCTGAGCAGCTAGGGGCCCCGGGGTCTCCGGAGGGGCTGCTGGGGGGGAGGGTGTCTCCAGAGGCCGAAGGCCCCCACAATGCTGCAGACGGACGAGGCCACCGCGGGAGGAGAAGGGGTCCTCACCGACCCGAGCCAAACACCGGGGGGCGCTATTACTGGGACGGGCGGGCTTCAAATAGCAGGGGAGGGCCCAGCAACCCGTACAGAAGGGGGGGGCCCCGATGGGGCCACGACAGGGACTTCCAACACAAGGTGGTGGAGAGAGAGAGGAGAGGAGAAGAGGTGCTATGACAAAGGGCAATGGGGGGGCCAATGAACACATGTGTGTGTGCCTTCAGGATCAGTCTGCACAGATTAAAAAGAACCAGGACCAGGACCAGGACCGCCCTGCGCTGTGGTCTCCTTCGCTCTTCTACGGCCACGTGGTTGCGGTCCCTACTGTACACCTCCACGCAGAATAACATCACATACAGATGGTTGTGGCTCTCTGCTGTTGTGCGAAATGACTTGAAAGAACTACAAATTAAATTGTCTGTCCGTCATTGTGTCCCTGTTTTTTTTTTTAACAAGATAAATTTAAATTTTATATATATATATATATAATATATATAAAATATAATTTAAATTTTATATATATATATATTATATATATTATATATATATTATATATATATATATTATATATATAATATATATATAATATATATATTATATATATATAATATATATTATATATATAATATATATATTATATATATATAATATATATACAATATATATATATATATAATATATATATATAAACACACACACGCACACACGCTACTTCTAGAGCATGATTTAAGTAAGCAAGAAGAACAATAGCACTTTCCGCAGTACTTTTGCTACAGTAACTTATTGCAGGTTGTCATATAACAGCTTATTTCTTCCTCCACTGGATGAGTACTAATGGGGCCCAGAAGAGAGCCACTATAAACCCTATAATTATAATTCCTATTAGATAAAAAATGTCTTTAAACGATGTGACACTGAGGCTCATGGGACATGTAGTCATTGAACGCTGAAGCAGGTGCATCCTGGGAGGAAGAAGGGCGCCATCTTTGATTTTTTCCCCGCACTGAAGACCAGCCCCTCCGAGCAGTCTGCGCAGCTCCTCCGCGGCGTGTTGTTGTTTTCAGGGGGACCGAGGTTATGACTGGCGGGAGCGCGTTTCACAAAAGCTACAACAACGGCAAAGACTCCGAGTCCACGATGGACGTGGACATGGACTCCAGCCACATGGAGAGCGAGCGGGGCGACCTGGACAGCAGCATCCCGGCGGCGGGCTCCTCCAACGGCAGCGGCGGGGAGGAGGACGAGGTGGAGGCCCTCGGTCGTATGAGAGAAGCCGGGTGCTCGAGTAGTCAGCACCGCCCGAACGGAGGCGGGGGGTACTGCGGCGGCCGGGAGCAGGAGGTGTCGGTGGAAATCGGAGAGACGTATTTATGTCAACGAGCCGACAAGACATGGCGTGAGTGATGCTTCGGCTCGGCCGCTTCCACCGCGACCTCTGTTGAAGAAGTCCCACCGAACTCACCGAGGATTCAGAGTAAAATCCTTTAGTTGTGTGCGAAACGTGGCAGTAAGACGTAATTTAAGGATTTTAGATTTTACAAAGTCTCAGTGGAGCGGAAAATACGATGATAAACAAACCGCAAATGCTCCAAAAGTTGATATTTCACTGGAATAATATTTTTGGAGCATTATGACAGCGCCGAACGGAATGAATGATCAACACAAACCAAGTTCCCTTTTTAATTAATCCAATTAACGATAAGTATGTTTGCTCATAATGAAATAAGTATTTAAATCGTATAAATCTCAATGGAGTTTGGTGAGGCATTCGTTCCAGACAACATGAAGCTACCTGAGACACTGATGGACGTCCTCTCTCTCTGTAGATACAGCGGAGGTCATTCAGTCGCGATTGAATGAGCAGGAGGGAAGAGAGGAGTTCTACGTCCACTATGTGGGATGTGAGTATGAACCTTTACACCATCAAGTCACCCCAGCCGCTGCTCGGCCCACTCCCTCCCCCACGGCATCAACATTAGCGTGATCCTCTTGCTCTTCTTCGCTCTTCCACCTTTTCACAGTCAACAGGCGCCTAGATGAGTGGGTGGGCAAGGCCCGCCTGGCGCTCACCAAGACGGTGAAGGACGCGGTGAGGAAGAGCACGGAGATCGGCAGCATCGGGGATTTGGGCGAGCAACCCGAGAGGAAGATCACTCGCAACCAGAAGCGGAAGCACGATGAGATCAACCACGTGCAGAAGGTCAGAGACGTTGTTGTTTGATGACACCCCCCCCGTGCGCTTAATGCTTTTTATATATACGACGTTTCCCTTTGCAGACGTATGCGGAGATGGACCCGACTACGGCGGCACTGGAGAAGGAGCACGAGGCGGTAAGGTGGAAAAACACACTCGTATATTAAGACATGAAACATTATCGTATATAAAGACATGAAACATTATCGTATATAAAGACATGAAACATTATCATATATAAAGACATGAAACATTAGCGTATGTAAAGACATGAAACATTAGCGTGTATAAAGACATGAAACATTAGCGTGTATAAAGACATGAAACATTAGCGTATGTAAAGACATGAAACATTAGCGTATGTAAAGACATGAAACATTAGCGTATGTAAAGACATGAAACATTAGCGTATATAAACATTAGCGTATATAAAGACATGAAACATTAGCGTATATAAAGACATGAAACATTAGCGTATATAAACAGCGTATATAAAGACATGAAACATTAGCGTATATAAAGACATGAAACATTAGCGTATATAAAGACATGAAACATTAGCGTATATAAACATTAGCGTATATAAAGACTAAAGGTTCTTTTGGTATTTAACCCTTAAACGTCTTCCTCAGATCACCAAAGTCAAATACGTAGACAAGATCCAGATCGGGAACTTTGAGATCGACGCGTGGTACTTCTCTCCGTTCCCGGAGGACTACGGCAAGCAGCCCAAGCTGTGGATCTGCGAGTACTGCTTGAAGTACATGAAGTACGAGAAGACGTTCAGACATCACCTGGTCAGTGCAGCAGTTCTCACCAAGTCCATCATCTTAATACCGAGCTGTGGCGCTTTCTCTTAGAGTCCCAGGGTTCAAGTAGTTTGCATCAGAATTTACTGTTGTTGTCTGTTGTGAAAGACAATACTGTATATTGTAATAAAAGCTTGAACGAAGAGGGTTTGACCCTTTGACCTTTGGTCCTCAGTCCCACTGTCAGTGGAAACAGCCTCCAGGCAAAGAGATCTACAGGAGAAGCAACATCTCTGTGTTCGAGGTGGACGGGCGGGACCACAAGGTGAGCTCACCTGCTCCGAGGGAGGGTTCCTCCTCCCGCTCACGTGTGACTCCCTCCTGACTGAAGGCAGTGTGGTGATTCGTTGTCGTCTCTGTTTGCAGATCTACTGTCAAAATCTTTGTCTTCTAGCAAAACTGTTCCTGGACCACAAGACGCTGTACTTTGACGTGGAGCCGTTCATCTTCTACATCCTGACCGAGGTCAACAAGCAGGGCGCGCACATCGTGGGCTACTTCTCCAAGGTACGTTGGTCCACAGCCCGGGCCGCCGCCACGTCAGACGTTGTGTCGCGCGGTTATTGCACCAACATTATTTGCAATAAACGACAATATTGCAATTTTCAGACCATTTTATGCCACATAATGATAATAGAATATTAGTAATAAAAGTACGCTCTTTCAAAGGACGTTTTATTTGTCAGAATAGTTAGACATTAGAATCGGAATGTGAAGAAATGTATCCTGAATAAATAAAAAATAATAAGTGCACTGTAACCTTGTTCTAAAGATTGGGGTCATTTAAACCTGCTTTGGTTTAGCTGAGTTCACTTGTAAATTAACTTTAAGACAGTTTATTTATTGCGTTTGAAGGCTACTAATAATATTAATATTTTATTTGTAGAATCAGATCCAGGCGATTTAGTGGAAAAAGATCAATGTCGTCATTTTTAAAAATCCCAACATGTTTTTATCTAACAAAAAAAATATTCAGCTTCAAACTAATTGTTGTTTCTGCTTTTAATATATAAAATTAATAAAATAAATATTTTCCTTTTGTTCTTTCAGGAGAAAGAGTCTCCGGATGGGAACAACGTGGCGTGTATCCTCACGCTGCCTCCCTACCAGCGCAGAGGCTACGGCAAGTTCCTCATCGCCTTCAGTAAGTGACACTGTGTGTGTGTGTGTGTGTGTGTGTGTGTGTGTGTGTATGTGTGTTTCTCCATGAATCCACTTCTTTCCCCTATAACCTGTGTGTGTGTGTGCAGGTTACGAGCTGTCCAAGCTGGAGAGTGCGGTCGGCTCTCCAGAGAAGCCTCTGTCCGATCTGGGGAAGCTGAGCTACAGAAGCTACTGGTCGTGGGTGCTGCTGGAGATCCTGAGGGACTTCAGAGGAACGCTGTCCATCAAGGACCTCAGGTAGAGACTCACACGGCAACGTCCTCGTCCCTCCGGCTCTGACTTGAGACGCTCACACCGGCCCTCCCTCCCCAGCCAGATGACCAGCATCACGCAGAGTGACATCATCAGCACGCTGCAGTCGCTCAACATGGTGAAGTACTGGAAGGGTCAGCACGTCATCTGTGTGACGCCCAAACTGGTGGAGGAGCACCTGAAGAGCGCCCAGTACAAGAAGCCACCAATCACAGGCGAGTTCCTCGTGGTCAGTTTACATTCCCGTGGTTTCTCCTCTGACGGCTGTAAGCTGGATGTCATCATCACAACCCTGAGGGTGAATTACTGCTCTTCACTGCGTGATGATGATGTGGAACATCCAGAAGTTTATTAAGTGACATAAACCAACAAAACTTTACAAAGAGCACGACGTGCAGCGGCTTTCCAGATGTTCTCTGCATCGCAGCACCGCACAGACAGGACAGTGTGAGAGAGCGTGTAGAGGAACAGGGCCCAGGTCTAAACTCTCTACATAATTTGCTTTAGATGTTTTTACCTGCGGTTCGTTTACAAGTGAAAGCAGACAGAAGGAGGCCGAGGACTTTAGATGAGCTGAGCTCCTTTGATGAGTCTTAATACTTTGTCTTAATCTCCCCCCCACAGTGGACACCATATGTCTGAAGTGGGCGCCGCCCAAAAACAAACAAGTCAAGTTGTCGAAGAAGTGAGAGGCGGAGCCACGTCTGTTCGTCACGTCTCCGGTTTTTGTATCGTCTGTTCCCCGTTTCCTGCTGTTGTGAAAACTCAATGTACATATTCATCCGTCATCAGTAGCATCTCGCAGTATTTTCTTAAAATATGTCAACAAAGAAAACTGACTGGTGTCCTGATTTCTTCTTTCTGCCTCAAATGGTCTGAAATCTTCTAACGTGTTCCAGGCAACGAAATAATCTTGAGTCTTAAGTCTTGATAATTAGGAAATAAATATCTTGCCGTCATAGTTGCATGAATATTAATAATATTTACTACAACAAGAGTTGGAAGTCTGATATTTTGAAACATGAAGGATGATAACGGTCCAGCTGTTGGGTGGGAGGAGTCATGTGACGAGGATACTGAGCCTCCATTGGCTCTCAAATATTCCTTCCTGAGTTTAGGATCCTAAATTCATTGATCTTTTATATATTATTTATATAAACACTGATACGTCTGATAGTGAGCTAGCGTTGATTTTATTAAGGAGCATTATCGATGAAGTGTGTGTGTGTGTGCGCTGATGCACTTTCACCTGATTTTACCGGGGGTCCTTGAACGCCTCACATAACCATCGATGTGGGTAAAATAAGTTGGACACAATTTAAAGGGAGATTGTTTTATTTTCAAAAACTACTTGAAACCGCTGCGGTCTTTCATAAGGCATTCACCACAATTCTTTTGTATTTGTGTACATTTGAGATGGTTTCAGAGAGGACTTCCTAAAACAAGAACATCTAAGGCACAACACGACTCCCACGCAGAGAGAACGATGAATAAAATCAAATCTCCAGTCTGAAGCTTTTATCGACATCACCGTCATCAAAATGTCTCAAAGACAAGTCCTCGTGTCTCTGCGTCCAGAGAGCTGTCCTCTATTCGCCTTGTCAAAGACAAAACAAGTTCTTTATAAAAAGGGAAACAACGTGTGAACTCTTACAAAAATAATACATGTTGTGTTTACAATCTGTGACAAACACACACGGATTCAACAACAAAGACAATTACAAATCTCACTCAACTGTCAACTAATGTTCTTAAACAGTAAAATGAACATTCACAAAAACCCTCTATGGATGAAATAAGAGCTGCTGGACGTGGAGGACGTGTAAATTTACATAATTATCACGTCAACTAAAAGCTTTGGTCGCTGTCAGACATGAACTTTACAACGTGGGTTTGAAGAACTTGTACTTGCTGAATGCTGACGGACGTTTTACTTTCATCTTTGACTTTATGGTTAAAAGCATCATCACGTAACTCAAATAAAGCCTTTACAAACAAACTAAAAACTAATCGCAGCCTTTCAAATGGTTTTATATAAACCTCTGAAAAGTATAAATTATACAAAACAAGTTCTTTCCTTCTTTATTTTCTGAATGCAGAACTTGTTAATATTATTCTCACGTTGTGTTACTGCATTTCACTGCATGCCGAAATATTCAAATGAAAAAAAACTAAAACACTACTAAACATTTTAATATTTTTCAGTGTTTGTTGTTAAAGTGCTTTTAATGATTTCAACCATTTTAATAAAACTGTAAACTGAATAAGATCAAATAAATCTGATAATCTGTTAAAAAAAAAAGCCTTGGGCCTAAAAATGAGCGGCCACGTCCTTCCTTCACGAGCACGACACACACACACACACAGGCACACACACACGCGCACACTCACACGCACACACACACACACGCACGCACGCACTCTCACTCTCACACACACACACACACACACGTCTTGTCCCTTTGATTCGTTCACTTTGTTTCACCTCAAACTTTAAATAAATAAATATGAGACAAAAGCAGGACGTCGGCCCCGTTCCTTCCTTCATTTGTTCCTCTTGCCCCTCCGGGTCCGTCCGCCTGCTACCTGATCCGCCCGTCCTCTCCGGGGGGGGGCAGGTCCGACTTGGGGTCGGGGCTGGCCGAGCTCCAGGCGGTGTGGGGGCAGCGCTGCATGACGGGGCAGGCGCTGGGTCCCATGGAGCAGACGTCGGCGGCGGACCAGTGGCCCCCCAGCAGCCCGTCCAGCCAGCGGCGCAGCGGAGCCCCCGTCAGGCCGGCGTTGGCCTCGGCCTCCTCCACGGCGCCCAAGCTCACCGGCAGCCGGAGCACCGGGTTCAGGCCGTGGAAGCTCTGCTCCATGTAGGAGTTCCTGGCCGGGCCGCCGTGCAGCCGCAGAGCCTCCTCTGGGGGGGAGAGAGAGAGAGAGAGAGAGAGAGAGAGAGAGGGAGGGGGGGTGAGGAACGAGGATCTGGAAAAGCTTCCACCACCTTTTAGCTCATTAACCAAATAGAACCAAATGCCTTTGCATAGGCTTCCAACCCTGCTTCATGTTAAGCATCAGGACAACAAGTGCTAATGGCACCATTAGCAACATTAGCCTCATTGGCACCATTAGCAACATTAGCCTCATTGGCACCATTAGCACCATTAGCCTCATTGGCACCATTAGCAATATTAGCCTCATTGGCACCATTAGCAATATTAGCCTCATTGGCACCATTAGCAACATTAGCCTCATTGGCACCATTAGCAACATTAGCCTCATTGGCACCATTAGCAATATTAGCCTCATTGGCACCATTAGCAACATTAGCCTCATTGGCACCATTAGCAATATTAGCCTCATTGGCACCATTAGCACCATTAGCCTCATTGGCACCATTAGCACCATTAGCCTCATTGGCACCATTAGCAATATTAGCCTCATTGGCACCATTAGCAATATTAGCCTCATTAGCAACATTAGCCTCATTGGCACCATTAGCAATATTAGCCTCATTGGCACCATTAGCAATATTAGCCTCATTGGCACCATTAGCAACATTAGCCTCATTGGCACCATTAGCAATATTAGCCTCATTGGCACTATTAGCAACATTAGCCTCATTGGCACCATTGGCACCATTAGCCTCAGGTGTTATTTAGTATATTACCCCTCCCTACATGAACATATATAGTATTTGATACTCTGCCTGCGTCTTAATTCATTTCTGTGTAACTTGCTGAGGGTTAAAAACTCTTCTGAGGAATATTTAGCAAATATTTAGCATATCTAGCAAACTGCTGCAGGTGAACTTCTAGGTTCCTGTTACACACACAGATACTGGTACATGAAAACACACACACACACACACACACACACACACACGTGTGCATCATCTTCACGATGTCATTCTATTCACGTCTATCATGAAGCAGCTTTACTTTACTCAAAGGCCAAACAAACCAAACAGTGAAGCTAATAATGATAGAGGTGACCTGTGTGTGTGTGTGTGTGTGTGTGTGTGTGTGAGTGTGTGTGTGTGTGTGGTGACACTATGAATACACGGTGATGACAGCTGTGACTCGGGGGCCTCTGGGGGGGTGATAGTCGTATTATAACAGTAGATCTTGCCGAGCTCTCGTGAGAGGTCCCCCCCCCCCCCGGTGCCGTGAGGTCGGGCTCACCTCGCGCTACCGGCTGCTGTCGGTGGAACTCCAGCGGCGCCACCACGAAGGTGGTCTGACCCAGCAGGTTCCAGTGGTGCAGCAGCCTCAGCGTCCACAGCCCGGGCCTCAGCGGGGGGCTGAGCGGGGGCCGGTAGTGGGTGACCTCCGCCGAGGCGTCCACCAGGATGTCGTAGGTGGCGGCGATGACGTTGGTGGGGTCGATCCACACCACCGTGGCCGTCAGGTTGCTCTGGCTGCGGCTCCAGCGCTGCACGGCCACCGGCTCGTCCGCGGGCCCCAACAGACCCCCCCAGTTCCTGAAGAGGCGCTCCTTGGGATCCCAGTCCGCCCCCACCTGAGGAGCAGAGCTCAAGGTCGCCGCGGGCTTGTTTCACACACATTTACCGTTACGTGCCGCTTTGTGTGTTCCCCACACTGAGCGCGTGTCTGACCTGCGCGTGCTGCAGCCGGTTGCTGGGGTGGGGGGGGCTGGCCGGGGTGAAGTGGTCTTTGGCGGTCACCCAGGTCTCCAGGCTCTCCGGCTGGCCGGAGGCCTGGTTGGTGGCCAGGTGACGCACCAGGTAGCCCTGGAACGTGTCCGACAGGAAGTAGAGGTGGACGGACAGCGGGTGGTTCAGCGCCTCGAACCTGCAGGGGAGACGTTGTCAGACCGGCGGGGGGGGGGAGGGGGGCCGAACCCCCACCGACCGGTTCGTCTGTGGCCACGTTGTCCCCCACAGGAGCCTTCAGACGCCCGTAGGCTGAGTCAAGTTCGTCAAAAGAGCCTCATGAATAAAAGTCTTTGTGGAAGGAAAAAAGTCCAAAGAACTTTAAAGAGTCATGAATGATTATTTCTTCCCTCCTGTAAATCATCACTAACACAATAGAACTGTTTGTGTGGGAATAACGTGTGTGTACGCGCGAGTTGTGCGTCGCTGCTCTGAGAAGTTGCTCAACTTAAATCACAGGTCGAACAGACGAGTCCTGTTTGACCGTGATGGAGCCTCCACCCCCGATCTCCACCCTCACTCCACGCACAAGTACCTCCTTGTACCTTCTGTGGTCTAACCCCCCCCCAGACGCACACACCCTCCTACATGCTGGAAAGATCCCGTCTGAGCGACTCTGTAGCCGATTGTGCGCCGGGACAAGCTGCAGCTATCTGCATATTTCCTTCATAACTTCATAGAAACACACGAGCAGCAGCGGAGACGCCGTCCTCCGGATCCGACGCGCTCACAGTGGGGGGGCTGTAGGTTCATAACGGACTTTTAACTCAATCAATTCTAGCAGACTTCCTCTCACTCCCTTTCTTCATTAAAATCCTCACAAATCAAGTCTACTTATTCCACAAAAGCGATGAGATACAAACCAAAGATCTCGTGCTCTTATTTAAACTTAGTACACCCTTCACACCCAGAAAGGCCCCCGAAGTCACGAGGACCCTCGGAGGCCTGCGAGCGTCTACCTGCAGCTGTTGTCGTCGGGGTGTCCCTGCAGCGAGCCGGCGGCGCGGGACAGTCCCATCCGGGCGAAGGCGTGGTAGTGGCTGAGCACGGCGTCCGCCAGGCCGGCCGGGCCGTCCGTCTCCTGCTCGTACACGTTCTCCCAGTAGGCGTGGAGGCCCGGCGTGCCCGGGGCGGGGGCCCCGAACAGGAAGGCGTCCAGCTGGTTGACCACCTCCTGGCTCACGCTGGCCTCGAACTTCCGGGCGAAGAAGGTGGGTCTGGAGGCTTGCTGTCAGAGGGGGGGGGGAAACGGGAGGACGTCCGGCAGGAGTCAATGCGCGAAACCAGCAGACGAAAGACGGCGTGAACAAAAGACGCCACGAGGGAGAAACACTTCATCTGTGCTCAACTCGTTCTGTGGTAAACACGCACAGTCGATTATTAACGTAAGCGCACAGCGGGAGAGCGTTCAGCAGCTAGCGTAGCATACGCTAAGCTAGCTGCCGATGCTCGGGGTTTTACATTGTCATTGAGTCACTTTTATCCAAAGAGACTTGTTTTTGCGCTCGGGAGCAGGGGGGGGGGGGTCAGGCGTCTTGCTCAGGGACACTTGGACATGGAGCAGCCGGGGTTCAAACCGCAGACCTCTCTACTCCCACCGACGCCCTCGTTTCAATGAGGAATTCATCATCATCTCCGCTAGAATAGTTATTATTGAATACGGCCTTTTTCTGACGATGGTACACACCAACTTCAAGGAGGAAGTGACCTCATCAAACCCAATGACAACAACAAGCTGTTTGGTTATTTTTATTTACGCCGATCGCTGAAGCTATTTGCATTATTAATACCAGACTGTTTGTGGGATCAAATTGTCTAAAACCATATGAGAAGAGTATTAGTAAATCTGAGTGTCTCAGTCCGTCGTCCCCCTCTGGGGGGGTAAAGGTCACCTGGAAGCGCGGCAGGTCGGCGGGCTTGAAGTCGTTGGGCGAGCAGCCGCACCAGTCCACGATGTGCTTGTACTGGCACTTGCAGCCCAGCTTGCGGTTCCAGTTGGTGAGCCGCAGGTTGTTGTCCACCATGGTCTGGCAGTGGCCGCTGTTCTCCAGCACCGTGTGGAAGAAGGACTGCGCGGAGACAACATGGCGTCACGTGGCCGCTCACCGACCTTTATGGCGTTTTATCATCACGTTTGTGTCTGAAGCTCAACGGTAACATTTTGTGTTTGTTTTGTGACTCGTAAAGTGAGAGTACAGGTTGTATTGTGGTTATTGATGCGGTGCGTGAGCGCGTGTTACCTCGGCGGGCAGCAGCGTGTAGGCGTAGAAGCGCTTCATGCTGCCCACCAGCTCGTCCCGGGAGTTGACCACGTAGTCCACGAAGGCCCGGTTGAGCAGGAACCAATCAGAGCCTCCGTCCACCGCAATGCCTTCTGGGATCTTTCGGTCCCCGAGGCGCCACATGTGGGTGTCGCACTCGTAGAAGAGGCGGTCCAGACCCTGTTTACGGATGAAGCTGAGAGGAGACGCCGCATGAATACTTCCATCTGACTTACTGTGTACTGTGTGTACTGTGTACTGTGTGTACTGTGTACTGTGTACTGTGTGTACTGTGTACTCTCTCTCACCGTGCGTTGTCTCTGCCGTGGGATTTGATGAAGTTCCTGTTGCGGTACTTTGAGAGGAAAGACACCAGCTGTTCATTGGTCCTGAGGGGAGACAGCAGCTGTCAATCATCACACATTGAACACTGTATATATATATATATACATATATATATATATATATAAAATGCTCCGGTTTATTCTCCACCAATGTTTATGCGGCAGTTTTTCTCTGTATAAATAACAACTAACAAATAACATCTTTAGTTTCTATTTTGTGGAGTGAAACTCAGTAAAAGTTTAAAGTGGAACACGAAAGTACAGAAGTGAAGTAAAAGTACTTATTTAAATTCCATCACTGCCAAACTGTCCATTCGAGCAGAAAGCTCCTCTTGTGTAACGTCCCGACGTTTCTCATCAAACACACTTCTTCTTTCTTTTAAACCATCGTCCATCTCAGTGTCGCCGGAGCTTTTTATTCAGCGACAGACAAACAGCTGATTTTCATCTTATTTCCCCGAATTATAATTAGTATTAGTTTGTGTGACCGGGAAACAGAGAGCACACACACACACACACACACACACACACACACATTTCCATTGACCCCACGTGCCTCGATGATGTCATAGCTATTGATGGCATTGTGCTACTGCTGCATGTGAAATGGATTTTAGCCGTAAGGGCAATAAAACAGCTGCTTTGATGAGAGGACAGAGAATGGATTAGTGTGTGTGTGTGTGTGTGTGTGTGTGTGTCCATAGAAATGGAACCGGAGCAGAATGGACATTCACATTCAAATCAACAGAGAAGGCCGTTCAGAGCGGCGGCCATATTTGATCCTCACTAGCGTCTAAACTGACCCTCCCCTGCAGAGCTTCACGTTCTTCTTCTCCCCCCCCGATCACAGTGGAAGGTTCCTCTTCCACCCCGCAGACGGCGATCCATCTAGTCGCTGCACTCGGGTCTATTGGCCACGTGGTCAATGATCAGCGCCTCACCTGATGGGGTAGTCTGCAGCGCTGAGGTTGATGAAGAAGTCCCAGGACCAGTCGGACATCTGGAGAAGGTCCTCCATGCTGCGTAGGTACATGGTGAGCAGGCTGGCCCCGCCCCAGATGGTGGACATCCTCCAGGGGGTCACCCGGACGTTGGGGTAGCGGCCGGCCAGAGAGAGGACCTCTCTGTAGAGGTAGTTGGACCTCTGAGGAAGGGTGGAGGAAGGGTGGAGGAAGGTTGATGCACTGAATGAAACACGCTGCTTTTATTCTGGTTTCCTGTCTTCACTTCCTGCTCCCTTCACTCATTCTGTGTGTGAGCACCTGAACCTTCCTGGGATTCCTTCAGCCTGTTTTGGTGTCTTTCTGGTTTTAGTTTGCCAGACTTCTGTTGTGTCGGATTCTCACCGTGCCGATAAGTTCTGCTGGTCCCGGCTTTGGTCTTTCTGACACCGAGCCTGAAAACATTAGATTTGTCTACCGGTCTCACCAGGTCCACGTGGATGTAGTAGTAGTGCGAGGTGTGGTAGATGGCTTTGAAGAGGCGCTGGAACTGGCGCGAGCCTCGGCCGTGGACCACCAGGACGAAGGCGATCCGGGCCGGGGGGAGGCGGGCGGCGTCCGGGGGGTCCTCGTCCCACTGCACGTTGACATTCGCCTTCCCTGGAAGCAGAGGACAAGGACGTCAGCGTTCAACAGGATCTAGATGTTTCATTCACTCAATGAATCATTCTAAACTTCTCTCTTTTCTTTATATTCTGACTTGTGGTTTAATGAAACTTTCATTTTCCGCTGCCTGACACGTCCTACTTGCAGGTTTCTTGTTGGCACAAAGCTGTTAGTGTCAACCCTGCTCCCCACTCGGGTTCCTCTTCCTCACCCCGCCGCCTGTGGCCGGCTGAGCTAAATCTGCCTCTTGAATCAACAAACCGCCTGGCAGCCCGAAGCTGCTCCGTCCTCACGCTACGGACGCCGCGGGCCGAGGCCTGCGCGGCCTAATTAGTGACCTCCCCGGCCTGCTGCGATCGGGAGTTAGTGGACAAATGACTGTAATCAGACAGCTTGGGTGAGTGGACAGAGGGGGGAGGGGGGGACGTGCACTTAAAAGCCAACGCAGGAAACACCAAACCGCCGCCCAGCGGTCCTCCTCCTCACGTAGGTCGATGGCGGCCCGAAGCGAATCGTCTCCCCCCGCGGTCGGTGGACATAATGACTAGTGTGTCATCAAAGCGGCCTGTGATCTTATGGATGAAACCTCACCGCGGCGGCTCGACGCGAGTAGTCATCCATTCCAAAATAAGACGGCAACGGCCGGTTTGATCGGGGGGGTAATTAGGCCTCAGGCCTCTGAAAATAGGGCCCGTAGCTCGTG